TTTTGAAAGATAAGCTCTTTGCTTTTTCAGATGTTTTATTCATTTTTATTTTTTTCTGAAAACATTAAGAGATTGGCAGCAAGTGGGCTTTATATGAAGATACAGCTCAGAAGGCCAAATGAAGGATGAATGAATAGTCCTTTCAGCTAGGTTTTAATTTTTTTTTTTTTTTTGAGCAGTTTCATTTTTAATGGGGAACTTTAAATGACCTTTCATTATTTCTAAGGGCTACTAATTTTTGAAAGATAAGCTCTTTGCTTTTTCAGATGTTTTATTCATTTTTATTTTTTTCTGAAAACATTAAGAGATTGGCAGCAAGTGGGCTTTATATTTTTCCCTAGTACTTTTTTCCTCATTAAAATCACCATAAATCATTTATCCTATAATTGTATAAGGCTTCTTCTTACAATGTATTATGGGTACATTACTAAACTGTATTACTAGACTGTATATTTGCAGTCAACACAGCTGTGTAGTATCACATTAGAAGTCTCTATTCATTTAAGTACCTAATTGCTGATATGGTAGAAGAAAATCTATAACAGTCTATGAATAAGTGAGAAAATTAATTGAAATAGACTTACCTAATATTTGTGTAGGGTTTGCTTGGTCAAAAGAGACAGCCTCTTTTTTAGGGAAATAAATATTCACTGTTTTAGATCCAGCTGACTGGTAGGCACTGTTACCTATTTACAAAATAGAAGATTATGAAAATAATAAAGGTGATAAAAACTGAGATTTTTCTAATTATATAACTGTTTTCATAAAATTATTGAAATATGCAACTACTTGGTGCATACAATAAAAATAACCTGAAATTCTAAAAAAAAAAAAAGAGGAAAAGAAAATAAATCTTCTACAAGATTTTGGATACTATTTATATTTATTGATATCTCAAAAACTGGAACAAGATGAAATTTCAGCAACAGTCCACAGAATAAAGCAACTGCAACTAAAGTATTAATTTAAACCTAATATCTTCCTTACATTTAAAATCTTAATTTATATTCCATTTTGTTCTAATGTAAAATTAAGATGTTTTACAGAAATAGGAATAAAAATTATTTTTATATATGGATTATCTTAGGGGCAAAGGCAGATACAGATGAAACAAGAAGTAAGTGTACAAAATTAATACTGTTTATGCAACATAAAGTATTTATTGACATGACCAAAGATGAGCTATACAGACACTGCTAGCACTCCTGGTTGTTAGTCTATAGTTGTCTTAAGGAGAATACAAATGTTAATCAAATATCCAAACAAGTACTGTATAAGGAAAAGCTTTCTAAAGAAAAAGTATAGAACACAGTGAGAGTTTATGATAGAGTGGGTGTTCAGGCAAAGAATATACATGGGTGATCAAAAAATGTTAGTACTGAGTTCATTAGTAAATACTATATTTAAAATTTAAATTAAAAGAGTAGGAATGGGGTGAGCAATGAGGGTGGGCAATAACAACCAATAACCTATGGTCCAAGTAACAAAAGAGTACAAGTATAACAGCAGAACAATGTGCTCAAAGCTCCTAAGGCAGAAAATAGCATGGCATGCTCAAAAAACTGACATAGGCCAGTACAGGAAGGAAGACAGAGAGGAATTTGAGGAAAGAGAAAATATTCAATGGGGCTCCACTTCAGTGTTTTAATAAGGGAAGGGACACAAATAGAATAAACTGTAAAAAGACCCCTGGCTGTCCTACGCACCATGGAGAGACAAATTTGGAGACTAATTACTTCATTGATTTAGGAGAGAGATAATAGCTTAGACTAAGGTCCAGTATAATATGATACCAAACTGTTATAAGAAACTTCTGGAAAATGGAAAGGAGCATTGTTACCTTTAATCTTTCAATATCTCTCTCCCCCCTCACACCCTGTGTGGGACCTGAACCCAGGACCTTTGCACTGAGCTACATCCCCAGCCCTTTTTTATTTTGAGACAAGGCCTCACTAAGTTGCCTGGGCTGGGCTCAAATCCTGTTTCAGCCTCCCAGAGTGTGGGGATTACAGGTGTGTGTCACCATGCTAGGCCAGTGAATTGCACCCTTGACACATTAAGAAAAAAATGAAGGAGAGATTGGAATAAACAGATTTTGCAAGGGTAGTTAGGAACCAGAATTTACAACAGAACAGTAGCTTTTGATCCTGGTTGTGTATTGGAATCACACTGGCAGATTATACAACTATTCTTGCCAAAACCCCAATATAGAGCAATATTTTATCAGTGACCACTTCAGTAGATTAGGTTTGAGCCTACTTTTATTAAGTTCCCTAGTCTAATGTGTAGTAAAGAGGAAATTTTGAGCAAATTCTAAAAGTCAAACCAAGAAAATTTACTATGAAAAACAAGCAAGAAAACACAAATTTTATTTTCATTAAATAAAAGTTTCAATGAATTTTAAAAATCTAAAAGAAAGAGAAATTAAAACTATGTACCTGTAAATGGATCAACTCCAGTAACAGCAGCGGTCGTACTTACAGAACCTGGCACATAACGACCAGCACCTACAATGCAATAATATTCCTAGTAAGCAAAGTATGAATTAAAAAGATGAAAAACTTCCTTCTTCACAGAACTTATTTCGTTATTAGTCACATTTTAGAAGTGTCTTTTCATACACAATAAATACGTTATAAATTTAATTTTTTTTTTGGTACCGGGGATTGAACTCAGGACCTTGCGTTTGCAGGCAGGCGGTGGAACCACTGTGCTAAATCCCAGGCTGTTATAAATTTAATACAAAAAAATGCTTAGAAAAATGTGTCATATTCCAGTATAAATATCCAATAAATGTTAAGCTAAAAAATATAATTCTCACGTGTCAAAATAAACATTAGACGGTTTATACAGTCTAAAGTTTAGTAAATTACAGAAATATAAGTGGACCAAAGAAAAAGGTTTCCATAACAAAATGTGAACCCTATTCTATTAAAGATAGGACCAAGTGCTAGCATACAACACAACCAGGTAAGACTTGGTTAAGAGTCAGGAATGTGATGACAACAGCCCAGCCACATTCCAGATCATACTTGTGCCCAACTTATTGAAAAGAGAAAGAAAAATAAACATGAAAAATAAGTGCGGCAAGAGAATCAGCAAGAGAGTGTGCTAAGAGAGCGAGCTGACACACTCGGGCTGTGGCATTGGGAACTATGGTGCTTCCGAACATCCTGATCACGGTACTCCAGGAGTTGGAAAAACCACACTAGGCAAAGAACTTACATCCAGATCAGGACTAAAGTACATTAATGTGGGTGATGTAGCTTGAGAAGGGGCATTATATAATGGCTACAATGAAGAGTATGAGTGTCCCATTTTAGATGAAGAAAAAGTAGTTGATGAGTTAGAGAACCAAATGGCAGAAGGTGGAGTTATTGTTGACTACCATGGTTGTGATTTCTTTCCTGAGCGATGGTTTCATGCAGTTTTTGTGTTGAGAACAGATAACAGTATATTGTACAAAAGACTTGAAACAAGGGGTTATAATGAGAAGAAACTAGGAGACAATATCGAGTGTGAGATTTTTCAAGTTCTTTATAAAGAGGCCATATTATCATACAAGGAAGATACTGTGCACCAGCTGCCCAGCAATATACCTGAGGAGCTAGAGGACAACATAAACCAGATCTTGAGATGGACTGAGCAGTGGGTCAAAGCTCACAGCCCGTGCCTGCTCACTGGGTGGTGCCTCTTTGCCCACCGTGTAGACACGGCCTCCAAGTATCTGTAAAAACCAAAACTACATGGAAGGCCCAGCAGGTATTTTTGTGCCTGGGTTTCTTTTTCTCCATGAGAAAGTTAAACAATCACAAATATAATGAATACAATTATTATTAGGCATTTAAAATATGCATCAGTTGCTAAACAATAAATCTGATCAAATGGGAAAAAAAAAAGAGAATCAGCAAGAGTTGGAGACATTCAAAAACCTGGATCAGCCCCTCAAAGAATATTGTTTAGACCTAAGTTTATATAACCTAGGAGTTGGTATAACAGGCACAATACACAAGGGAAAAACAATCTAAAAACTAAAGATGCAAATAAGAGTAATTAAAACAATGATTACTAAGCACTTTATATGCACATCTTCATTAAAGTTTTAATTAGGTAGCTTTGTAATCCATAATTTCTAAATTCATAATTCAGAAGAGGAAGGTTGAGTAACTTGCCTAAGGCATTAAGCTATTAAAAGGGAGAGGAGTATAGTCCTCTACTTTTCTAAATGTGTTCTCTGCCCACCCGAATGATGATAATCTAATATGCAAATTCCCAGAGTCCATACATAATCCACCACTTCAGGAAACTTTAAAAAATACCTTGCAGGGCCAGGGATTTAGCTCAGTGGCACCGAACCTGTCTCGAAAGCACAAGGTCCTGAGTTCGATCCCCAGTACCCAAAAAAAAAAAAAAAGCCAGGATTTAGCTCAGTGGTGCCGCCACCTGTCTCACAAGGGCAAGGTCCAAAGTTTAATCTCTGTTACCAAAAATATAAATAATACCTTGCACTAAACCAAGCCAAAGACCATTTAATCAGCATCACTGAGTGAGGAATCAGGGCATAAATATTTATAACCTCCTCTCCAATCCAGTGAATCAGAATCTCTAGGATAGAATATTGAGATATGTAAATTTAAACAAGCTTCCCAGATCATTGCAGTGGACATTATAAATTCAAGGATTACATAAATTAATAAAGAAAAGAATTAAGATTGACCTTAAGTTGTAAGTCAGATGGTGAAATCTTTTGGCCCCACTGCTACTGGTAAAGTTGGGAGAACAACAGCAACAATAATAACTGATATATACTGATGGTTTCAATATATTCTAGTCATTTTGCTAAACATTTCCAAGTATTATGCCATTTAATTTTCATATCTCAATATAGTAGAACCCAACATCTTTTGTTTTTGGTACCAGAGGTCGAACTCAGGACCTTGCACTTGCAAGGCAGGTGGCACAGCCATTGAGCTGGTTCCCATTAACTATTTTATCTAACCTGGCCCCATTATCTATTTTTTATACAAGTATAGCTCAGTGATCTAATGATATCAGTTTTCCTAGACATAGCATTTATATGCTATTTCACATATCTATATAATAACTGCATCTTCAGAATTATTCATATTGTACAGCAATAAAACATGATGGCCCCTGGAACTCTCTTCATTTTACTGGTACTGGTTGAACCTTGATATGTTCTCCATGTTCCAGAAAAAAGCTGCCAATGAGATCAGAGAATCACTGTCCCTGAACTGCCAATAAAACCATCATTTTATCCACTCTTTGGATCATTACCACTTGAAATCATATTATATCATCAAAGATTTCCTTCATAGCCATTGTACTATCACACTATTTAGCTTGACAGTTATCTTAGTATACTTGTTATCAATGTACAAGGTATAATCATTTGCATCTGGGCTACTAACTCGTTCATAGGAGAAAAAAGCTCACTGAGAGCAATTCACAACTTCATGACACCGAGTGCTATGGTTCAGATATAAAATATTCCCTAGGGCTGGGGATTTAGCTCAGTGGTTCCAGCTCCTGCCTCGCAAGCTCAAGGACCCGAGTTCAATCCCCGTTACCAAAAAAAAAAAGATTCCTCTAATTTGTCGAGAAGAGTTCTTAAAATATCCCCTAAATGTCTCATGTGTTTGGAAGGTGTCTGGGTCATGGGGGTGTGGTACTCATCAGTGGGTTCATCCATTAATGAGTTCAGTAGTTTATGTGCTATTAGGGTCTCTTTAGGAAAGTTGGATCATTAGGGGTGTGATCTAGAAGGGTGTATTCTTGTCCCTACCTCCTCCCTTCTCTCTGTTTCTTGGGTGCTAAGCAGTAAAGAGCTTTCCTCCTCCAAGCCATTCTGTCATGACGTCAGCAGACCATGAACTGAATCCACTAAAACTGTAAAGCAAAATATCACTTTCCTGAAGTGGTGTGTATCATATATGTTACGATACATTATGTACCAGCAACGGGAAAGTTAATATGATTTAAGGCTGTGTGTTGGCCCAATCAATGCCTAAGAGATAATTGTAGTTTGACATTTGTACAGGCCACACTGTCAAGTTTGCAAGGACAGTGAATTCCATAAAGGCTATGAATCTCTTGCCAAATTGAGTATATTATCCAGGTACTCTGTCTGAAGATCCAACAACAGCATCACAAAAGATATCAAGAGCCATTCTGAAAATAGAAATTTCTTCAGCTGCATTAAAGTTCAACTCTGTAATTTTTCCCCAATAATGCTGACTCTGAGGCTTGCATAGTTCAGTAAGTATTAATTCACTCTGAATGCTTCAAGAAAGTCATTAATAATTTAGGAAGAGTAATCTTGGGTCTCTGGGTAGAATGTCTCCTTCCATGCTAAGTCAAAATATGACTGGACAGATGTCTTGATTCCACTCCTCCATCTAATAACAAGGACTCACACACCTTTTTCTGTTTGTGATTGGTAGATTCCCTATTATCTATTATCACAAATGAAAAAAAAAAAGGCTCAGGCATGTTAAATACCTTGCTGACTTCTGATAGCAAGTAAGTGGGAGAGCCAGGTTTTGAACCAAGATCTGTCTGACTCTAAAACCTGTATGGTTAACTACTCTGCTTCCCTGGCAGGAAGAATGACAAGATCTAATAATATGCCATTTAAAAGTCATGAGACAATCTACAAAAGCACTCTAGAAAAAGGCAAAAGTTAGAAGTTAAAGAAAAAGACACTGATTGGAATTGAAAATATAGGTAAGGGAATTATTAGTTACTGAATTAATATCTCTAAGATGCAAAGCCATATACTGCAAAATGTTATTTATTTAGTGAAGGATGTATTAACCAAAAGTGTATCCCACCTGTGAAAGGATCTGCTGTTGGCACTGTACTGGAAGATCCAGAAGAGCCTGGCACATACCGACCACCACCTACACATGCCAAACAAGGAAAAGGTTAAGTATGCCAAGATTTTGAATTTCATAAACAGCACAATGCTTACACTAAAAGAATCTAAGCTTTCAGAAAAACTGAAGAGCAAGGGGTCACATGATAGGACAGAAATTATAGTCAAAAGTATAGCTAGAAAAAACTAAAATTTCAGTGATTCTCCAAGTTTTGCTTTTTCAATGCTTTTTAAACTCTTAACCCCAGGATATAAACGTTAAAATAACAATTCAAATATGAAAAGAGAATTGCAGATAATCTCTGACCTAAATTATATATATATATAATTTTCAATTCCTATCTCTGTTCAAATTTACAAAAATTCTATACAAATTTAAAAGAATCCTTGCTGTTACAGCTGCTATCAAAACCACAGGCATTAATGTTAACCTTCTAAAGGAGTCCTGCTTCATTAATTCATGTGTCAAACATTTTACTCAGTGCTGGAGATCCAGCAGAGAAAAAAATTCCTTGTATTTACTGAAGCTTACAATCTACCACTGGAGAATAGAATTACAAAGAGGATGAGTACTACAAAGGGAACCGATTTCTGTTTACACATTTAGAAGTGTGTGATGTGTGAGAATATGTTTTGCTGGTACCTCAGAAAATAACAAGGTCATCCTCAAAACAATATGTAAGGATGCTTATAAAGTTAGTATTCAAAAAGCAAAACAAGCCACGTAGTTGCTAGCTTTCCAGACAGACCCAACTGCTTTAATACCTGTCCTTCATCCCACAATATAGCTTATACAGTACAGCAATATGTGTTCACTCCTGTCCTGAGTCTGAAATTCCAACAAGAGAAATATTCAACAGAAATATCCTGGTACTCAGTATTTAATTTTTTCTTTTTGGGTTAATTCCAAGTATTTGGAAGGTTAAATCATTTATAGCTCAGTAGTGAATTATTTTAATAATTCTGTTTAAGTCAGCATGCAAGTGAAATCAGCTTCATTATGTGAATGGGAAATAGCATTTTGAACTAGGAGATGATCTGTGAGATGATGGAGTATCTGTGAGGGAAGAACAAATCTATATAAGAATTTGAGACAGGAAGATGATATGGGGTTTTTGTAGAACATGAAAACCAGAATCAGAAATGACAACACGTGGCCAGGAGGTGCAACTCATTAGTAGAGTGCTCACCTACCATGTGCATGGCCCTGGATTTGATAACCAGTATTATACACACACAAAGAATGAGAACAGAAAAACATTAACAGTAAAGTACCTAATCAAAATTTTACATAGGGTAGTCCTCCTAAAAAGAGGAAACACTCTATTTCTTCCTGTCCTTCAGTCCCCTGGATCCTGAACTCAGGGTAATACTACTAGGATCAAAATCTATTCTTGAAAGTCAGAATTCAGACTAATACTACTTGGATTATAATTACCGACTGGTGTGAGCACCTAACCCCATTTGTAACATTTTTGAAACTGTACAGGACATTATGTTACAAACAGCTAACTTAAACTTTAAAAGTGACATATAAATCACATATCCAAAATTTACTCCTAGAGTTGATGTACAACCAACCAAGCCTTATGTGAAATCAATTTCCTTTTACTAAATTTCACCATAATATACATTTTAAAAAATAAAAACTAGGGCCTGGGGGTAGAGCTCAGTAGTATAGCATTTATCTAGCATGCATGACGCTCTGCGTTCAATCTCCAACACTACAAAAGAAATTTTTTAAAAAGAAAGCTATATAAAAAAAATTAAAAGTTTCTCCCTACGTCAAATGACTGAATAAAAGGTTATTAGTTTTATTTAGTTTACAGTTAGGCTGTACTTGAAAAAGGAAACAATTTGTAATTATTTCTATAAAATACAGAATTATTACATAATTTGAAGCTTAAACATATAAACTTGAAATAAAACCTCTGGAAGATCTTGATTTTTATTTACACTGCTATTCATAAAAGGTATTTAAACTAACAAGCAAAACAAACATACTGGGGAATAGCTCAGTGATAGTATGCATTTTTTCTTTTATACTGGGAATCAAACTCAGGACCTTGCACTTGCCAGGCAGGCGCGGCACCACTGAGCTACATCCCCAGCCTGGTAGTACATGTTCTGTGGCACACACAGGCCTTGGATTCAATCCTCAGTACTAAAAGGGAAAAAAACAAAAGAACTCACTACTTGTAAAAGTACAGAAAATTTAATACAAATCTAACTCACCTGTAAATGGATCTGAAAAGCTGGTGTTCCCAAGACCCAACATTTGACCTTTTGTGTTATCAATAATAAACTTAGCTACTTGATCCAAAAACATGGGATTCAAATCATTCTTCTGCAAGAAGTTATATGCAGTCATCCAGGGATCATCACTGATATTATATGGCAATTTATATGTTGGTCCACCTTCATTGACATGAATTGAGAAAACATAATCAAATTCCTATAATAGGAACAATAAAACAAGACAAATGATTACCAATTTGCCTATTCATATATATTAAAAACATATATAACACAGATGTTATATGTTCTTTATTTTTAGTAATTATAGTACTTAAACTTTCTCCAAAGTACAATGCTAAAAGTTTTCTCTTTGGCCAACAAATAACAATCATCTCCATATGCCTCAGGATTACTATTTCACTGGGGGTGGGGTGAGATGGGAGATAGATTATAACTATCTATTAATTCCACAGCCAAAGAAGGATTTTCCAATTGATCTCACAGTATAAGAATCAGCTGCTGGGGGGCCGGGGATTTAGCTCAATGGTTTTGCCGCCTGCTGTGCAAGCGCAAGGACCAGAGTTCGATCCCTGGTACCAAAAAAAAAAAGAAGAATCAGCTGCTGCAGTGCCCACCTCATCAAACTATGCCAGCATTATAAGCACTGCCTGTAGGGTCTCTCATGTCTTGTCAAGTTAAATACAACCAGGCATTAAGCATTAGATGAAAGATGGCACAGAAGCTCCGAATGCTTGGGAACAATTACGTGTAGGAACTTCGAAAGGACAAATAGCTAATTTTTCTATTACACACAGCACTCTCAACATGGAAAGTTTTAAAAAAAAATTTTACTTTATTTTACTTATTTATTTTTAAGACAGGATCTCACTACGTAGTTCAGGCTGGCCTTGAATTCACTATGTAACCCACACTGGCCTCAAACTCATGGCGAGCCTCCTGGCTTAGCCTCCTGAGTACTGGGATTACAGGTGTGCATCACTATGCCTGGCTGGAAAGATTTTTTTTTTAAAAATCTATTTTAGGGCCGATGATTTAGCTCAGTGGTTCCACCACCTGCCTTGCAAGCGGAAGGATCCAAGTTCGATCCCCGGTACCCAAAAAAATAAATAAAATCTATTTTAAAACAGGGGGAAAAAAAGATAATTTCTCCACAGTAATATATTTTTAAAGTGTCAAAACACCAAAGAAAATTTTATCAGCATGGGGAAAAGAAAACCTTTAACTGTTTGAGATAATGATAATTAGCAGAAATTGACATACTTTCCCTTCATATAAAACTTTTCCAGATGTTTGCTGATTAGCACCAGATGAGCCAACAACATCACCAATTTTCATCCACCTCCCTTCACTAACACTCCACTGAAAGGCTTCAACGTTTTCCCCATCTCTGATGAGACGAGTCTGTCCTTCCCTAGTGCCTTAAATAAAAATTTTAAGAATCAAAGAAAGAATGACAGAGTAAAATTCAAAGACATTTAGGTAGAAAATTATTATTAAAATTTATACATAAGAGAATATATATTTTGGTTTAAAATAAAATTTTATTAGAAGATTTTAAAATGTAATTCTACTACAAGGTAAAATAAAATAACGGTTAAAAGAAAATTTTAATAAAGTTAAAAATGTGACTCTACTAGAAAGGCCCATCAAAAATAAAACAAGTTGTATTACCAAATATCTTTTGCTAACATATTTCACTTCCATAAACAGCTCTCTATTCTTCCAGTGGCTCTGGACAAAATGGAGAAGAGCTTGGTATCTCTTTCTCTCAATCCCACAGCCAATTCTTTAGCAATTTATTTCAGCTCATTCTTTAAAATATACCTAGAAAACTACATCTTCTTAACCTCATTACTATCCCCTAGTATAAGAAACCATCATTTTTTGATTGGATTGATTCAATGGTCTCCTCCTCTTGCTCTTGGCCCTTCATAGTGTTATGTTCAACCCAACAATCATAGGAATTTCTTCAAAAGTTTAAATTCTAACTTTTCTGCTTGAAAACCTCCAGTGGCTTCTTATCTCATTCATGGGTAAAAGCCTAAACCCTTAGAGTAGTGGACAAGGCCAAATTTCAACTGCCTCCGAAATCCTTCTTGACCTTACCTTCTAATCTTCTAGGCCCTTTGTCTCCTCACTTCAGCCACAAAGCCTTTTTACTGGATATATTCTGCCTATGATACTTCTCACATAGATGTTGTCAAGAATGGCTCTTGGCCTTTTCCCTTAAGATAGGGTCTCATGTCAACCAGGTATGCCTCTAACTGCTGGCTGTGAGCAATCCTCCTGCCTCAGCCTGTGCCAACATGCCCAGTCCTTTGTTTCCTTAAGGACCTGATTTGAATGTCACCTTCTCAACAAGGCCTTCAGTGGCAGAGACAGCTACCATAGCTGTCTTCCAAAGAGTCATATTTCTGTTTCATAGGTTACAGTTGTAATTGTCTAGTCAGAGATTACATTATCAACCCCCTTGTATCTTGAAGCCACTTGATGCCATATTACTGCATAACGATGAGTGGAATCTACATGGGCTTGATCTATGCCAGTTCTGGCTTAGCCCAGCATCCTTTAATTTCACTTTTTAATTTGTTATTTTGACTGAAGTAATTATAAAAAATTCATCCTTACTCAGGTAAGAAGTTCAGAAACAGAGGACAAAGTAGCTTTTTTAGAAAATGTCAATATTCTACAAGTGGTAGTTTCTTAAAGGCTACAATGTAGAATCTGAAACCATGTCAATGAATTTTTCACACTCTTTTACACTGAAACCCATTGGTTTATTTTCCACTTTGAGTGGACCTTTTACCAATGCAAATGTATATACCATTTCCTGGTCATTTAGAAAATATTAGTTCACTGACTTACACAGATCTACATATTTAAACATTTCACTATTCAACATCTGAAAAACTCACACTTGTTAACATTACCATCTATATTATTAGAATGGTCTTTTACATACCAGAAAGCTATTAAGCTCCTGGTGACAGAAACAATTTTTTTTTGCAAAATTTCAATTTTTGCAAAAGCTTGAATTTTATCTTTGGCCACAAATATTGTCAATTATTTTCCTTAAAGAGACATGCTCATTTTGAACATTTTCAAAAAACATCTGCCAAATACCCAAACCTGAATAACCATAGTTATTCTTTCAAATAAAAATGGTATTGCATGAAAAAAGTAGTAATCTCCAACTCAAAAAACTACACAAGGGCTGGGCATAGTGGCACATGCCTGTAGTCCTAGCACTCATGAGGCCCAGGCAGGAAGATCGCTGTGAGTTTAAGGCCAGCCTGGGCTACATAATGAGTTCAAGGCCAGCCAAGACTACATAGTGAGATCCCGTGTCAAAAAAGAACAAAAACAAACAAAACACTACACAAATGCTTTTCCTTGAGACACCATGGTATTGTGGTATTTTTATGTGTGCTTTACATTTAAATTAATACTTTTTAATGCTTCACCAAAGACATTCTTAGTGGCACATGGCATTTTTCCACAATTGACAACAGCATGCCAGTAAAGAACATAATAACTACTTGAATACTTTGGTGCCTCTACCTTGATTTGTGTACTGGGTAGTCAGCAGTTTTATGTTAATCATTGCTTTTGCACCCTAAGTGCAAGCCCTACATAATATAAAAAGTCAAATTACATCTAATATTATAATATTAGTGTTGAACCCATGAACATCCTGAAAGGATCTAAAAATCCCCATGAACCAAGTTTTGAGAAGCACTGATACAGTGGGTCAGGGATACAAGATTTCACTGAGATGATTTTTGTTCTCTGATTTCAAACTCAAATGATCCCAGTTCATTAAGCAGACATTGCTTTATTAACTCATTCTCAGCTTTAGTTTCTATAGTCTTTTGCAGAAAGTCCAAAAAACTATTAAACGAGTGACAGATTCTGAGTACCTACTATTTTTGAGTTAAGTTTTTGGAGATTTATTAGAAGAAAAATTTTTGTATAGAAAGCTTTACTCAAAGTCTAAACTGTGAGACAAAGGCAAGAACATGGTTTCTTATAGCAGCATGGTGTGATAGTAAAAATACCCAAAAATCAGTATCAGGCAGTAAAAATGACAATGAAACACTAGCAAAATAACATTCTTTTCTTATCACTCTTAGCATTCCAAAAGGCAAAGATGGTAGCATTTTTAACTACTAGATACACTGAAATATTTACCAGCTTCATTCAGATGTTCCCTCCCAGGAAGCTGTTCAACATTAATGTCCCCTAAATCACCAGTTTTGGTATCAATGGTTGCCTGAGACAGCTCTTTTTCAAAAGCCTTGATTTCCTCAGCACTTGCTGTGCGATCCACTGATTCTGTAAATACTCTAATAATACCATCACTATAAGAAAAAAAAAAAGATTTTGAAAGCCATTGCCATAGTATATTAACAGTCTCACACCTGAATGATCTAAAGCAAAACCAATCTGTATTTGTGAATATGAGAAATGTTACTATGTAATTATTGCCGAGATTAGCACTATACCGACATTAGCACACATTCTCTGTTACTTCTGCTACTTAAAGAAGTTACTGGCAAAGGACAAAGAAATATGTATTTAATACAATTTTCAACTCCAATTATTTACCACGATAACAATCTGGAAATATTCTACTTACTGTTAAGTCAATGTTATATGTGTCTTATAGTATAAAGAAAGGCAGTGGGATAGTTTATAAATAGCATGTTCGTTCTTTCAAAAAAAATAAATGCTTTCCTGTTTAGATTGAATGGTAGTCCTCAACCTCTATTCTCTGAAAGATTATTACATTTCCATGATTTCTTGATCCCAAATTTTGAAGTAGTTATGTTGGCTACTTTTAACTGTATTAATCCTACTCAATTCTAGAGAATACTTTGTTTCTTATTTAACCTTCTATAAACATTAATTTCACTTTTTCAATTGGTTTATTTTTCTTCAACTTCTAACATACTTGACAGAAATGGAACTCAGCCAACAAATCAACCCCTGCCTCAGCTAAAAACTAAAATGACTCTACTTTATTAAACATTGTTTTCCTGAAAGCCATCACTTTCTTTTTCTTCTTGCTTCCAATGCCAGGGCAGTCTATCAGTCTATAATTCTTTCCTCCATCCACTTCCTCAAACTACCCTTCATCTCCTCTTATTTACCTTTTGGTCTATCACTTTCTACCAAACTGTGATGTCAAAAGACTAATAACATCTTTCAACCCAAATCTAAATGCTTTTTAAACTGTCCACTCCTTGACCTCCTCAAGCATTTTTGACACTGATGAAATGCCTTCCAAAATTTCTCCTTTTCCATCTTTAATTTTTACCACTGAACTTCTTTGTTTACCCTACTGGCCATTCTTCACAATATATTACACTACTAAGTTCTTAGTCTTCTCTACATTTCTTCCCTCTGAGAAAGGTATCTATAACTTGCTTATGGCTCGTATACTTGGGTCCAGTTCAACTACCCATGATCCCCTGGCAGGTGTGAATACTGACTCTGGAATTCTATAGCCAAAGTTATCTCCTTCGCAGCAAATTAATTTTCCCACTTCCCCATTTTAATACAATTGCTAACAAAAGTTTGGAGATTTTTTTCTCTTTTTTTAATCCTCTTTCTGATAATTTTCCCTCTATACTATTTCATTTATTTGTATCTTATCCATCGGCACTGTAGGGTTTATGTTTTGTAACTTCATACCCCTACTGCTGCAATTGATTTCCAGTTTGCATTCTTGTCCAATGTTACCTCTAGTCAAATCAAATCCTAACTTGTGAGTAATTCACAAACTCCACAAGAGAACATTTCTTGCTTAAAAGCCCCTTAAACCTAAGCACTAAATCTGAAAAATGCCTGGCTGTCAAGGTTCTCCATAGTAAAGTCCACCATACCTACTATTCACTATCCTCTAGCCTCAGTCCTCTCAGTTATTTCCCCTCCTCTCCTATGCACATCACATGCATTCCATAAAGGAAATTTAACTGCCTTTTTTGTCAGAAATCCTAATTTCTTCTGTTACTTATTATCATTCAAAATCCAATTTGAATTTCTTTTCCAGAAAAATTTTCCCAAACCAATCCCCGCCTTTCTAATTTCTTTTGCATTCAATATTGACCACACAATTTGCAGTATAATACTGGTCTAATGAACTATATCATGTATCATTAGCATAATAGTTGTTATACCTGCTGCTGTTCTGTTCAGAACAAAGACACGCATACAGTCTTGCCAACTCACCTGAAAGGGCTTGTCTCTGTACACTAGTGTCTACCACAGGCCTAAACACATAAAATTTATTCACTGACTGGCTATAAATACCTTGCACCAACCACAATATCACCATTGTCTAGCACACAGCAGCACCATATGGACTGAGCTGGAAGTCGAATTGTTTGAGCACATTCCCCATGTTTCCATATCCTCAGAGATCTGTCTTCTCCTGTTGTCACAAAATCTAAAATTAATGAAAAGTGAATTAAGTATATTTATAAGCAACATCTTTCTACATATATATTGACATTTTTAAATCTCAATGTGTTTTGTTTTGTTTTTGTTTTTGTTACAGAACCTTGCACTTGCAAGGCAGGTATGGTACCACTGAGCTAAATCCCCAGTCCAAACCTCAATGTGTTTTAAAATTTTACATATTTTCCATTTACATACAACTTTAAAATCACATTTTTTATTCATTTCATATATTGCACCAATAAATTATACAGTCTTTGCTCAGATACTCAAGAACTTTTTTAAAAGACAACTAACTGATCTGAATTAATACAAAGATGGTCATATAATTTTTCCCATTAGAAAAAAGATATGTAGGAAATAAAGTTACTAAATTATTCAGTCACAACAGAAAACTGATTTTAAGTAATCAGCCTTCCTCCCCAAGAATGTGATGGAATGGTGTACAATACAAATTTTAACACATAAAGTAATCTTACCTCTGCAATTTGGAAAAACAGATATGCTATAAATATAATTTGTATGTCCATAATACACCTCAAGACACTCTCCAGTGATCTGCCACTTTCTAATACTAGCATCATTTGCACAGGAAAGAAATTCTGTTTCACTCAAAATTGCCAAACCTCTTACACAGTCTTCATGCCCTACATTTAAAAAAGAATAATGTAAATCAATAAAATATATCATTTGTTTGATAGCTTTATGTATTTTACTAACATTATAAATTATATCTGTGAATAGTAAAAACCAATTTTTTTTGGTTAGAGAAATTTCATATTTGTTATCTGGTAACCAAAATTTGTATTCCAGGTTTGACAACATTTTTTATTACCAGTCCTGAGAAGTTATTTTATATTCATCATTATTGTCTCCAAAGTTTTTCCTAAAAACATTCTAGAAACAGTATTTTGACCTTAACAATTCTTTATATTCACACAATTCATTTTCAATTTTTCTTTCCCAATAATAAGGGTAACTCATATAACAGGAATATAGAATAAAGAATAAATATTTCCTAAATTTAAGGACAAAAATTCTCCAAAGCTTGTGATCCAATAAAGGAGCTGAGAGGTCAAAACTTTCCCATGTTTGATGGGCAGTATGGTACAAAACTATAATCCCCGGAAGATCACAATTTCAAAGCTAGCCTGGACAACTTAGCAAGATCTCACAAAATAAAAAATAAGAAAGGGTGGGAGTGTGAAGTAGTCGCTAGGCATATGAGGCCCTAGATTCAATCCTTAGTACCATAAAAAATAATAAAAAATTTCCCCATGCTCATCATTTGTTTTTGTTTTTTTTTCCTTTTTGGTACTGGGGATCAAACTCAGGACCCTGCGCTTGCAAAGCAGGCAGCAGAACCACTGAGATAAATCCCCGGCCCCAGTGTTTGTTGATTTAGACCAGTTATTAAAAATTAGTAATGACTTGATATCAATTGAGCAACTGATCAATAGAATTTACTGAAATAGAAATGATAACACATCCATTTTCCATCAACAGATACTTTTGTCTGCACAAAGGAACTTTCTGGAGTATTAGCTAGGTCATGATCAACTTTTAAGGAGAAAATAAATAAAGGAAAACAACGGTAAGAAAACTTACACCAAGCTGGGCATGGTGGTGCACACCTGTAATCCTAGCATGCTAGGAGGCTGAGGCAGGAGGATTGGAACTTCAAGCCTCGCCTGAGCAATTTAGCCAAACCCTGTCTCAAAAAATAAATAAACAAACAAATAAGGGCTGGGGATGTAGATCGCTGCAAAGGTCTTGGGTTCAATCCCTGGTGTGCACGCGCACACACACGCACACACACACACACACACAAATAATACACACACACCTTATACCAACAATATATGTCCCACAAATAAATCAATGATATTAATATTAGTACAGGGGCTGGGATGTAGCTCAGTGGTAAACCATGCGCAAGGCCCTAGGTTCAATCCCCAGCACATACATACATACATGAAATTAATCAGCAGATGCTTCAACATAGTACTACTTAACAGCTAGAGTTTTAAACAAATTCCTACCACAAAACCACATTCACAAAGCCCAAAAAATGTTATAAACAATGTATTTCAAAATAAATAAAGGTAGCAATGCCTTCTTCTAGTTATGAAGACACACAGCTGACCCACCATTAGTAAGGTTTATACTTGAATTTTCAGCCTATGTTAAAAGGACAAAAATGTAATTGCATAACAAAAGTTGCATACATTATAACATATAGAAGCACATACATGTATTATAGCTTTTCAGACAGCTATTTATCAGTGTACACCTGGTGTTTTTATGGGATCTTATTGTAACTCTTAAAAAAAAGTAATTTTTTTAGAAAAATCAAATGTGCCCAAATTAAGTGTTTCAAATATATTGATGTGGTTTTTTTTTTTTTTATACTGATGTTTTTTAAATACTTTTTCTTTTGGTACAGTGGATTTAACCCAGAGCCTCTGCACTGAGCTACATCCCCTGCCATTTTTAAATCTTCTACTTGGAGAAATAATCTGGTTATGTTGCCCAGTTTGAACTCCTGCCTGACCCTTCCAGGGTGCCAGGATTACAGGTGTATACCACCACGCCCAGCTTCAAATATCATTTTTAAACTTCTAATCTTTCCAGGAAAAGAAAGCTGAGCAAATATGAAGTAATGATTATAAAAGCTGTCTACCTGATCTTACCTGAAAAAGTTCTCTCACATCTTCCAGCCTTCCACAGTTTAATAGTCTTGTCTGCTGATCCAGTTAACATTAAGCCCTGTTCAGGTAAAATCTTTACTGCCCATACTGCAGCTGTATGACCCTATGAGTAAAATAGGTATCAACTTAAGTTGCCACAGAATCATCATACTCATTTATTATCTAGAATACTTGCAATTAATACTGTACCTGTAAGGTCATCATGCATTTGTCATTCAGCCAGACTTTAGCAGTGGTGTCCCATGAGCCACTAAGTAATGTTCCAAATTTTCCAGATGAAAGACTGCAAACTAGGGGGGGAAAAGTCCATGGTTAACATATCTTCATGTAGAAAAATGTTCAACCTTGCAAGTTATTAAAATATTGCAATTTCTTTAAAAAAAAAAGCCTTTGTGAAATAACAGTATCTTAGACAATTAAGTTATGAACGTGCCACTTATAACCAGTATGACCACAGGGATAATACTGAACCTCTGATTCAGAGTTTGTAAAATCAGGCAACAGGACCAAGTAGGCTGTGTGATCCATTCTAGCTCTAAAATGCAACAGTAGGAAGATAATGCAAATGATTTTGAAATTCTGTTTATACAGACAGTTAGGCTCACTTTCATCAAAATGATATACACACCAACCGGGGATTTAGCTCAGTGGTTCCAGCGCCTGCCATGCAAGCGCAAGGTCCTCAGTTCAATTCCCGGTACCGGAAAAAAAAAAAAAAAAAATACACACCAAAACCAAGATCCAACATTCCACAGTAACAGAAGAGCTAATTAAATATCTTCTTCTCTTGATAACAAACATTATAAATATGAAAAATTATCTTAGAATAGAGTAACCTAGAAAGTCAAAGCAGAGCCACAAAGAACAATGAACTGGAAACCTATTTCCTGAAAGCAGAGGGATCTGATCCTGGAGGTCACCTACTCTCAGAGCAGAGGGTACTTGAAAGACACACTCACTTGAATTTCAGAATTGCTATGGACAAGAAACTGCTATCATGTACGGTTTCCTTTTCTGAATGAGAATGTTTACTCTGATTATCGTATTCCTTTCCCACAAACATATATTGGGTATGGGTAGCATAAGTACATTTAGCCTACAGAACTTCTAGAGATTAACTTTAAACCTCATGCTGTGACGGCATGGGAATTTTGGATTGATTAATGCTGGGAGAAAAGCGGGCTTATTTTACCTGTAGGACAGAAAACAAGTTGAATAACTGGCGACCATAAATACTTTCCCTTTGACGTTAGGCAAAGGTATATTTGCCTTGGTAGATGAAATGGTAGCTCATACTTCAAAGGTATATGCTTTTTTTTTGGTACTAGGGATCCAACTTGGGACCTTGTGCTTGCAAGGCAGGTGGTGACACCACTGAGCTAAATTCCCGGCCCAGGTACATGCTTTTTTTTTTTTTTGGTACGGGGGATCGAACTCAGGTTCTTCCAGGTATATGCTTTTAAGAGCCAGTGCATTGTTAACAATGCTACCCTTTTGTTGCTGCAGTAACTACTGAAGCACATGTAGACATAAAGTCCCTATCAGCCTGAGTCCCTGAAAAAAATTTGATAGAGTCCCCTTACTAATTCATGTTAAACACACAAGGTGAATGAGAAATGCTCTTCTGTTGTCACTGACATCTGCAAATTGTTTGTTACTCGACCATAACCCAGCCCATCCCAACTTACATGTTGCAATATTTGAAAAAATAATGTTTCAGGATAAAAAATCAACACAACAAAGTCAACAGCATTCCTTTACACCAATAATGAACCTACAAAGAAAGAAATCAAGAAAACAATTCCATTCACAATAGCTTCTAAAATAAGTACCTAGATATCAACATAACCAAGGAAGTGAAAGACCTCTATAATAAATACTACAGTACTCTGAAAAAAGAAATTGCAGAGGATAATTTTCTAAAGGAAAATGGAAAGACATTCCTTGTTCTTGGATAAGCAGCATTACTGTTGTTAAAATGACCATTTTAAGTGTTCTACAGATTTAAGGCAATCCCTATTCAAATAACAACATTCTTCACTGAACTAGAAAAAAAAAAAATCCTAAAATTCATATGGAACTAAAAGAGACCCAAAATAGCCAAAGAAATCCTGAGCAAAAAGAGCAAAGAGGGAGCCATTACAATTCTGGATTTCAAGTTATCAACAAAGCTTTGTAACAAAAACAGCATGGTACTGACACAAAAATAGAAATGTAGACCAATGGAATGGAACAGAAGACATAAAAACAACCCCATACACCTTCAGCCATCTGACTTCTGACAAAGGGGCCAAAAATGTACCCTGGAAAAAAAAGAGCTTCTTCAAAAAATGGTGCTGGGAACACTGGATTTCCCTGTGCAGAAGAATTAAATTAGATCCCTATCTCTCACCCAGTTCTAAAATCAAATGAAAATGGATCAAAGACCTAGATATGTAAAAAGAACCTTCAGCCAGGTGTGATGGTGCAGGCCTGAAGGCTGAGGCAGGATTACCGGTATAACCCAACCCACACAACTTAGTGTCTTAGCAAGAACACATTGTAAAATAATGGGGAGGAGGGCCTCAGGATGTAGCTTGCCGTGGCCCTGGGTTAATCCTCAGTACAGCAATCAATCAATCAATCAATCAATATTTAAAACTAAACAAAAACCCCAGAAACTTTGCTGAAAGATAACACAGGAAGGGCTGGGGATTTAGCTCAGTGGTTCCACTGCCTGCCTCCCAAGCGCAAGGACCCGAGGTTCAATCCCTGGCACCAAAAAAAAAAAAAAAAAGATAACATAGGAAAACACTTAAAGCCACAGGCACAGATAAGGGCTTTCTGAATAGAATTCCAACAGCACAGGAAATACTATTAAAGAATCAACAAATGGGACTACATCAAGTTAAAAAGCTTCTGCATAGCAAGGAAAAAAATGAACAGTGAAAAAAATCTACAGAATGGGAAAAAAGTTTTGCCAACTACTCTTCTGATAGAGGACTAACAATACCTAGAATATTAACCTTCCCCAAAACAAATGACCACAAATCACAAAACAGGCAAATGAACTGAACAGATACTTCTCAAAATAAGAAGTACAAATGGTCAATAAGTACATGAAAAATGTTCAGCATCTTTAGCCATTAGGAAAATGCATATCAAAACAACTCTGAGATTCCATATTATTCCAGTTAGAATGAACACAAAAAAACAACAAATGCTGCCAAATTATGGGGAAAAAAGAACTCTTGCTGGTAGGAAAGCAGACTAGTACAACCACTATGGAAAGCAGTATGGAGATTCCTCTAAAATAGAATTCCTCTAAAAACAGATATTCCATTTGACCCAGCTATACCTATCCTGGATACACAGTATTCCCAAAAGAGTTAAAGTCATCATATTATAATGACAGATGCATATCCATTTTTTTTGGTACCAGGGATCGAACTTGGGTCCTTGCGCTTGCGCAGCAGGCGGCGAAACCACTGAGTTAAATCCCCGGCCCTGCATACCCATTTTTATAGCAATGCAATTCACAACTGCCAACCTCTGGAAACAGCCTGGATGCCTGTCAACAGATGAATGGATAAAGAAAATGTGATAGATATATATATATATATATATATATATACACACACACACACACACATGTATATATATATATACATGTATATATATAAAATATTATTCAGCCAGAAAGAATGAAATCTTGTCATTTGTAGAAAAATAGATGAAACTAGACAGCATAATGCTAAATAAAATGTCAGACACTCAAAGTTAAATGTTGTAGTTTCTCTTACATAAGAAACTAAAATATAAACACATAAATGAGTAAAATAAAGCAGAGATGGTAGGAAACAAGAAGGCAAGCTTTTTGGAGATAGAGAAGGGGAACAGGGGAAGGGGAAAGGTAAGGGAGAGGGAAGTAAAGGGATCAAAGCTGATCAACATTATGTTGTATGCATGTACCAATTCCCCCAAATAAATAGCACTATTATGTATTGTACACACACACAATAAAAAAAAGTGTTCCACAGACCTACTGAAATAATATGCAAAAAATTACCAATAGTTAATACAAAAATAAGGAAAAAAGAGGGATTACTAAACTTGGGAAAAATAATTCTTTCTTCGACAAGAATATAATTTTAAAATTGTAAGTGAATTAAGTCTACTTGTTTTCCACTTTGTTCCAGAAAAATTTTCCAAATGACTCTTATAAATATATACATAAAATAAAAATTACATGGAAAAGCAGGGCAAAAGGAAAATAATATGTAAAATGTGTAACATGAAGCCATGAACAGGTATTAGTACCGAACCTCTAGAAAGCAGAAGACAGAAACTTTTACTGAGTAATAGCTAAGTCATTAAGTGCTTACCATGAATCAAACACTATAAAAAATATTCTTTGCAACAATCTCAGAAACTAGATGCTATTATTCCATTTAACAGATGAGAAAATTTAGAGATCAAATAATTTAAATCTTTTATTACAGGGAGGGGTTGTAGGGTCTTGTTATGTTGCTCAGTCCAGCACCCTGCCTCAGCCTCCTGAGTACCTGGCACTGCAGGTGTAAACCACCACACCAGGCTAATTTTAACCTTTTAAAGTGAAAAAAAATAAAACCCCAAAACCAAACCCAAGCCTGGTGTTGTAGTGCACACCTGTAATCCTAGCACTTGGGAGGCTGAGGCAGGAGGATCTCTGTAAGTTCGAGGCCACCTTGGGCTACACAGTGAGTGAAAGGTTCAAGGATAGCCTGAACTACATGGCAAGACCTTGTCTCAAAAAACCAAAAAAAACACCAAAAAACAAAAAGCAAAACCCAAACACCTAGATACTCAGGAAACACCTAACTAGCCATGGTAACAAGAAGAGAACATGTCCCTGTCTATAACATATTACATATGCTTCATGATAGGGACAGATTGAAAGACATTATTGTACAATAAATATCTGATTACTGTGTTTAGATGTTGAATATTTCCATTTATAAGAAAAGCTGACTTTCAAATATGTAAAATCGTTTTAAAGTCCTACTTAAAGGTTCTGCATTATTTGATTATTCCTTTCTTTAAACAAATACGTAGAAGATCATTAATTTCAATCAGTGGAACATTCTATTAGTATTTCATTCATGTACAAAAACAGAATGCCAGGCGGGGCAGGTACTTCATCATTAGAACAGTTGCCTAGAATTCATGAGGCCATGGGTTAGGTCCCTCGCAACACACACACAAAAAAAGGGCCAGGGATTTAGCTCAGTGATGCTGCTGCCTGCCTCGCAAGTGCAAGGTCCTGAGTTTGATCCCTGGTACCAAAAAAAAATTTTTTTTTAAATGAAGAAAAACAGCCAGATACCATGGTGCACACCTGTAATCCCGGCACTCAGAAGACTGAAGCAGAGGGACCACGAGTTTAAGACTAACCTGGACTACATAGAGACCTCATCACAAACCATCCCAAAAAAGGAAGAAACACAAATTTTAACTGGGTATGGTGGTACACACCTGTAAGCCTAGCTATTTTGGAAGCTTAAACAGGCATATACAAGATCAAAGCCAGCCCAGGCTAAGCAAGACTTTGTCTTAAAATAAAATTAAAAGGGATGGGGATGTAACTCAAATGAGAAAAGTCCTTATATAATTTGGGCAAGGACCTGAGTTCATTCTTCAGTACAAAAGAAATAAAACAGAAGAAATATAGTGCTGTCTTAATTTGCTGGAAACAGTTAATTTTTTAAAAAAAATTCTCATGAGTAACTTTTACAATGGTAACAACTTATCTCCAAAACTTTATATCATTTCATTTATTTCTAATGAATAACAGTGCTTTAAATTTAATTTACATAGTTTCAGTTTTTAAATACTTAGGAATCAGAGATTTTAAATGCTTGATCCTTGATATTTGTAGGGCCAGGGATTTGCTCAGTGGCATCACGCCTGCCTCTCAAGCACAAGGTCCTGAGTTTGATTCCTGGTACCCCCCCCCCAATAAAGCAATGTACAAAGTGATTCTGGAACATTCTGTAGTACCAGAGAGCAAGGAAGATTACTGAAGGTCCTATTAAACAGCCACAAGAACAAATTAAAGAGGCTTCCAATGGTTAGATACCAAACAATATGAGAACATAAATTAAGTGATAACTAACTCCTTAAACAACAACAATTAAAAAAAAAAAGGTGGGGGAAGGGACAAAGCAGGCATTTACTGTCTTCTCTGTATAAAAGTCTTACATGGGAATCAAAGAGTTGACTTAGAAAGATCTCCATAGAAAAACACTGTGATTAAAGGCTGTAATAATGGCAGAATCAGAATGTAATCATTTTGTAAACATCAATGAAATACTGGATCCAGGTAATGATACAATATTTATTTATGAGTTACTGGGTAAATCTAAGTATTCACTAGATATCTAAAAGTAAAAAATTAGTTTCTGTTTTAAGTGTGATAATGATATTGTGAGTAGCCGCTCCCTTTAGGAAGAAAAAGAGCGGGTCGGGGATTTAGCTCAGTGGTTCTAGCACCTGCCTCGCAAGTGCAAGGTCCCAGGTTTGATCCCCGGTACCAAAAAAAAAAAGGAAGAAAAAGGGGGGAGATTTTTGTTATTTACAGAAAGGATCAACAAACTAATATATGTCAGTTTTTTACAGTCCAGAAAAACTATAAATGTTATTTTACATTTTTAAGTGGTTGAGAAAAAAGCAAAAAAGTTCCTTGACATGTGAAAATATGAAATTCAAATTTGAGTCCATAAATATTTATTGAAAAAAATTTTTTTAGAGATTTACTAAAAACTGGACAAGCTCATGTATGTACTGTCTACAACTGCTTCTGAACTACAGTGTCAGAGCTGAGTACTTATAATAGCAAAAATATGGCCTGAAAAGCCCAAAATATTTAGTATCTGATCCTGTACAAAAACTGCCAACTCTTGTTTTCTTTCTTTATTTTTTGGTACCGGGGATCAAACTCGGGACCTTGAGCTTGCAAGGCAGGCAGTGGAACCACTGAGCTAAATCCCAGGCCCCCCCCCAAATTTTTTAAATGATACTAAAGTAGAAGGAAAGATGAAAGAAAATAGGACATAATGCTGATAAACTTTGAAACTATGTAAATTCATGAGTGGAAGGATCATTATATTATTCTCTCTATTATATGTTTACTTAATAATGCATTGTAATATAGAAAGACTCAACTTTTATACATATTGGATTTCCATATAAAACTTTTAAAATTTGTATCACTCTTGAGCCAGCTGTGGTGGCACATGCCTGTAATGCCATATGAGGCAGGAGGATTGCGACAAGTTTGTGGCTAGCCTGGGCCAGCCTGAACTACATTGCAAGACCCTATCAAAAGGAAGGAAGGAAGGAAGGAGAAAGGAAGGAGAGGGTGAGCGAGGTGTCTTTCTGTATTAAAAATGTCACAGATACATTTTACAAATTCTTCAAGCTTATGGGTCATGTCTCAAACTGTTCCAGATAGATATATAGATATCTTTTTATAGTCCACAAAAACTAGATTTTTTAAATATTTTTAAGTGGTTGAGTAAAAAACAAAATAAAAAATTCCTTGGCATGTGAAGATATGAAATTCAAATTTTAGAGTCCATAAAAATTTATTGAAAAATATTTTTGCATTTGTGTATTATCTATGACTGCTTCTGATATATATATAAAACATAGCTGTACAGATTAATCATTTCATTTATAAAAGATCTGTTAAGTCACACACAAATCCAGAATTATCACAGAGTCAGGATTATATACAAATCATGGAAAATGATATCCCAAAGTATTACATATTTTTAAATAATGATGCCAAATCCCTGAACATATTTCTTCGGGGTCTTCATAATTTGCTGCATAAATACAGAAACGAAAGTCAAAAGATAAAGAAATTGTCTTCATTTTCCAGAGTAAACTTCACTGCACAAAATTGAAAATTATGAAGTGTATTAAAATTTTACAGCCTCTTCCTTTTATAACTGGAGAGTTCACTTTCTACATATAGACTGGGGATGTAGCTCTGTGTCAGAACACTTGCCCAGTATGTGCAAAGCCCTGCGTTCAATCTCTAGCACCACAAAAAACAAAAACAAAAAAGTATTTTTTAAATATATAAGCATGTCAATCTTTTACTTTACAAATAAATCTGTGTTACGGCTTATGTTTAGATGTCCCCACAGAGCCTCATGCTGTCATAGGTGCTTTTTCAGAGGTGGCGAGATCTAGTGTGTGATGTTGGAATTGATTCACAGTGCAGTGCTAGGCTCAAGGGCACTACGACTAAGAGTATGAGTGCTACTCACCCTAAGTAGTCTGGATAAGGGGGCAGAGAGACGCTGTTCAGGTCCCTTGCTTGTCTGCTTTACTACCTTCTGCCAACCATCAACTGTTGCTCCTCTGCATGCCCCCTGCCTTGGAGCCAACCGATTATGGACTGAAACCTCTACAAACTGTGAGCTAAATAAACCTTTCCTCCTTTAACTTTGGGTGCCAGGCATTTAGTCTCAGCAAAGAGAAAAGTAACTATGACAATCTGTAAACAAACTTTACAGAACTACGATGATCTAAAAACATTTTTTCACTAACAAGCCATAGTTACAGGTAAAACAAAATGTACTAAAAAATCTGAAAAAATGGATACGTGAATTTTACTTTTAAAGAAATGAAACTTTTTCAGATAGAAAAATACCAAAGTGTTATACTCACCTGTATCTTTGTGACCTTTTAAAATATAAAGTGGCACCGGACTGTCCAGTGAGAAAACACAAATATTGTGGTCATTTCCTCCAGTGGCAATTAGTCCATGAGGGTATATGTCACTTGAGGGTATGATGCATACACAAGATACAAAATTAGAGTGGCCACTCATACAGTGCATTTCTGTAAAACCCCTGTTAGGACTGGAAAGACAAGATAATTAATAGATATGAATTTGTGCCCTGACTTAGCTACCCATAACACAAACTGTCAAAGTACTCATTTTCATTTTTTCATTTAGTGTCCAGGCTGAACTTTAAAGTATATAATGTTTGAAGAATCACTCATTTTTAAAAATTAAACATTAATTTGCATGAGTTCTATAAAGGATTTTATCAGATTAGAAAAAGTTTGATAAGTGTTTCTTTGATGAAAATGTTAATTAACAGAAGGAAAAAGGAAGGAAAAGGGGATAAATTAAATATTAAAAGTGGCTTTTCCTCCACAATGAATGTAATCATTTTGTACTGTAAACATGCACTGATAAAAAATTGTTTTAAGGAGTAGCTCTTTCTCATTCTCCATCTTCATTCTAATCATCAGTGATTGTTACTCTAAGATATCCCCGGACATTTTTTACACTATGAAGCATTACCTGAGTACTTCAGCATTCCAGTATATATACTCAGTACTATACTTTACTGTACTTTAGTATAGCATGTATATCTAAAACAGCTAGAATATCAATCATTCTCAACATGCAAAACAGAAACTAATACAGGGATATACGCAGGACCGCTGTAGGGGCACATACATTAATAACTGCCTTAGGAATATCATGTTATACATATCACTAAGCGTCACTGCCTTAAGTCAAACAGATTATGGTATCATATGTGGAAAGCAGTAAGTTAGCTGTTGAAAGGGACATACAGAGTCACATCCCTAACTCAAGTAAAATGAAGAGTTTGCAGACTAGTCGAAGGAGATAAGTGAACATAAAGAGATATGACTCTGGATAAAGAATGAACACACTCATCTATTTTTGCACCCTTCACAAACCTCACTAAAAAGTTTAAATATAAAAGGTAGGTGATATTTCAATAAAGGCATGAACCAACAAGGCCAGTGAGGATGGAAAAAAACAAGAATACAACTTTGAATACCTGAAAGTTGACAGAAAAGTAGTAACAGCTTTAGGGGACCTGAGAAAAATGAGTTCTAAGTAGGCAACAGGGAAAGTGGAGAACCAATTTACCAATAAATCCCCTCACAGCACAAGAACTGAAGAAGTTTTTAAGAAGATGGCAGAGTAGGAAGTACTAGAAATCTGTCTCCTCCCTAACAACTGCACGGGCAGAATCCATCTGATGATACTATCCGAAACACTGGTGTCGACTGAAGGCTTGCAACTTCCAGGGCAAAGCACGGGCTACAAAATAAAATGTTTTTTTCTGGTGCTGGGAATCAGACCCAGGGCCTTGCATGTGCTAAGCAATTGCTCTACAGGGAGCTATATTCATAACCCCTTGAAGTTCATTGATCAATTTCAGCTCTTAGCAGCGCAGCAGCTACCCCATCCCTCACCAGGCAGCCCCGTGGCAGGAAACATGCACTTGGTTCCTGGAGCAGCTTACACACAGGTACAGAAGCTAAGGTAGGATCCTGTCCTCCAAACATCAGATCTTCTGTCTGATCACTGACTGCTGCTCGGGTCATAGAGGTGCAGAAAAAGAGGCAGGTAAAACTGCTGTCTCCTCATCTCTCCTGTTGTTGCAAGCCCTTACCTCTCCAGCTGAAGTGACTTCAGCTTTCTGCTCAAAATGTTATCAGGACCCCAGCAACCAGTTAAAGGTGATTAGCAAGGTCATTGATCTTGAAGGTTTGGGAGTTAGGTTTCTCTAAAATGAGTGGATGGATGGAATGTCAGCCCAGTCGTACCTTAGTTTTCCTTCCAGATTTGATCCTTCCACTGGTGAGGGAATGATCTCTGTCCTTAGTGCTCTTGGATCTGTTAGGTTTATGTTTTACGTCTGTTCAATGAAAGGATAAGATATCTTTGTTGCATAATCTTTTCCTACACCCTAAATGCATTGCTTCTGAGTTCTGGGGGTCTGGCCCATAGTCCTTTGTCTCCCTGCTGAGTCACATTCTTCCTGCTCAAACTCTTCTACCGCTTCCACCTGCGAAATTGCTCTCCTAGCCTCCAAAATGTCAGATAAACTGGTGCTTTCAGGCAAAGGCTATAACTTTCACTTCTGAGGTTGATGAAAAAAAAGTCTTAAATGATTCCTAATGGATAATAAAGATGGGGTTAATTCCTTTTCAGAAATACCAAGGGAGGGATCAAGTCTTCCCAGCAACTTTCAATAAGTTAACAAAAGCCCACTGAGGCATCATTCTGTGCTGCAAATGTAGTAAAAAACAATAAATAAAAATAAAAATAAAAATAAATAAAAGGCTCACAGAGGCAAATCTTAGCTGATATTTACTTTTAGCTTCCAATTTGAGTTCATATTTTTTAACTGATATGCTTAAAACATTTCTTGAGCACTGGGATAGCTGTTAAACTGCAATTAAGGGGGTTAACTTCTGCTGCTTTTTGCCTGGGCTAAAATAAGGATGCCATGCAAGGTCTCTTGGAGGTCTATTGGTCAGCCAGTCCTAATTAGAATGTAAACATCTATAAACTCACTCGGAGACCAAGGGTGGAAAAAAAAAAACATGTACTAAAGATACTTTAAAATCCAAGTAGCTACTAAGCTTGTTACAGAACGAAACCAATAAGGATAGAGAAGGAAATACAAAGAAAGTTTAAGTATGAAGATACACTTCTGGGGCCAGGGATTTAGCTCAGTGGTGCCACCACCTGCCTTGCAAGCACAATTTCCTGAGTTCAATCCCTGGTATGCCCCCCCCATCCCCGCCCCCGCAAAATAAGATATACTTCTGGTATGAGATTTTATGATAAGGTTTTACCCTACTAGGTCAGAAAAATGAAAGACAGGAGCAAAACTAGGAGGTTCAAGAAAGGTTTGCAGGGAATGAAGTTTATGAAAATAGACATGTTTGGTTATTTTAAGTTTTTGCTCTTGGTTTGGTTGACCCTGGACTGTTCCTTCTAAACCTCCTCGTTGCTCAAAGGTGACTGAAGGGCTGTAATACTGACTCATAAGTTTTCAATCACTGCTCCTCAGGTCCCAATTCCGCCTCTGGTCTGATGGTCAACAGGGGTTATTTTGTCTTGTACTGGGGATGCAAGGACAAGGGACACCATAGCTAGTATAATTTTCTGTCTTCTTAGATGGAGACAAAGAGGCACATTGGCAATAGCCTCATGGACAGATGACCACCTCAGTCTAGTTAAAATTTCTGCTTTGAGTTCCAGTTTGATGGAAAATATGGCTCTAAAAGAATGGTTAATCAGTTCTGTCCAGTTTCAGGGCTCCTGGGACCCTGCCCCACTTTAGCCTTCATTGCCCTTCAGCGAAAAACATAGGGTCTAACAGTTGATCTTCAATTTCACTTACAGAAGTATTTCAATTTCTTTGGGTAAAGAAGTTCAACTTCTTGTCACAACCAAAGGGCTTCAGGGACACAAGAGAGACCAAAGGCACTCCAGTCAGCACACTGGTCAGAGCAACTAATCCTGTAGCCTCGCCCCCTCTCGATCCTAGTTCGTAGCCAGTAGCAACTAGGGCTTTACCAGTGGCCAGGGGATGCTTTGGCTGAAGAGTTACTTGAATAGGGAAAGCAAGGAATACCTTCTTTCCTTTTAATGTGTATCAGAAAAATGGGAAGCTCTGTCTCACCTCCCAATGCATTCTCAAAAAACTCCCTTGCCCTCAGATCCTGAAAAAAACATTATCACCACTGCCTGGTCCTCTTAGCCTCTGTGAGATAGACCTCAGCCTCAATTTCCCAACTGGAAAAATACTCCGCCCCAGAAAATAATTATCAGCTTACAGGACAGGTTACATCTCTACTTCTTAAGCCTTCTTATTGCTTCTCTAACCTTGAAGACACAGGGACCCATACTGGGGTCCCTTGGACTCTTCCTCTGCAATGTCTCCTTCCAGTATGTATGAGAATGTGATAAAAAGATGGGGGACCTCACTGGGAACCTGAAAGAGAACAGTGATGGTACTTCAAGTATCTCAACTTCTCTCACTCCTCCTTTTGGAAAAACACCATTAACTATTCAGGAATATGGACAGGACCCATGTTAAAACTGAACGACATCAATAATCATACCTGGGGTTATATCGCCCAGTGTTTGGGCCTTGTATTCAATAAGACATTACTTTGTCTCTAGATTTTCTCTTTTCACTATCACCCAAAACATTACACACCATTAAAGACCCTGCACAATCACACCATTAAAGACCCTGCTCTGTGCATAGATGACTGGTTTTCTGGAATTACACCTTCCTCCATAGGCCCATGGTCACCCTGAGTCCCCAGCATCTGCCCCACTGACATAGACTTACAATCTACCTTTAAGTTTGCCTGACTACAGGGCAAGACTACTGCTGTCTCCCTCACAGGAACTGTTCTCTTATTTCCTCCGTAAAAAGCCCTTGCATCACACTCTCTTTCTCATGGAGGGGAAGATGCACTGTTGCCAGTGCCCTCCATGACATCCTCCATGATTCTTTAAACAATCCACCTTCCCAACGTCTGGACCCATCTCTAACCTGGCCTCCTTCTTAAAATAAGTCTCTTGCCCAGTCTAGGTCCAAGAGCTCCCTCATTAAATCCCTACGAGGGTAGGCCTAGACCCTTATAAGATCCTTCAGATCAGTACTAATGCTCTTGCTACTTCTCTAAGTTTCTGGACCCTGTTTACTCAAATCTTGTTTGCTTTGTCTCCTCTCACTTAGTCTATACAACTTTAGATGGTTATGCAGATACAACCCACCCTAGAAATCCCATCTGACTTCTATCACAGACCATTAGACAAACCTTCTGGAGGATGCCGCTGACAGCTGACCCCTTCTCACCACACTGTACAACTCAAAGCAGCCAAAACAGTGTTCATCCCTTTTCCCTAATGACAGGGATACCTCTTCAGAGGGGGGAATGTAACAGGAATTACTGGTAGTGAGATAGGGGTTAGGATTCTATTAGGCAATAAGGACAGTAGCCCCACAATGGAGTCAAGGAACCCCAGAATAGAGTTGCAAAGTCATGACCTGCCAGGGGCCTTACAAAAACATCTGCCAGGTGTCCTTCAGCTGTCTGGGTCCCAGAACATGACCAAGCAGGCCACTGGCTCAAGGGCACGTGGGTCCTGAGTGGACACTGCATGAACACTTTCTTAGACTGGACCCTCAAAAATATGTCGTCTCCTAAAGAGTAGATTATATTGCTTACACAATGGCCCGAGCTCCCTTCTAAATCTCTTAAAAACCTCCAGGCCAGTGACGGCAAACCTTTTAGAGCTCTCAATGATACAGACAGCCCACTGTGGCACATGTGACATAGGTTCACCACTACTGCCCTAGACAGAATATTCTCATGAGTATCCTCCGCAAAACACCTTGCAGCAAGTGGGAGCTTTACTCTCTTGGCTTTTTATCTTTTACTTTCTTGCCTTTATATCTTTTAAATAAATCTGCTTGTACCCTATCTCCTCCATCCTTGGTTTCATTCTTCATCACCATGAGACACAACCCTAACGTTAACATTAACATTAGTATAACCTGAGTAAGAGTATTCTTGGAGGGAAGACTTTTCAATCTATTTTTATTCCAACCTTTTATCCTTTGTTCTTGTGTTTACCTTTGTTTTGTTTTTTGGTACCAGGGATAGAACTTGGGACATTGAGCTTTCGAGGCAGGCAGCAGAACCACTGAGCTAAATCCCCAGCCCTACCTTTGTATCTCTAAGCTGTTTAGTTGTTTGTATCTCTAAGCTGGCTTAGGTGTTAGAATTATTAGCTTGTAACCTGGGTGGGCTATTTTCTGTTACACTTTTAGGCTTATATGGCTATTTGCTTAACTCTTCCATCAGTTTCTTTGACTCAAGCTTCTTTGACTACTTATAACTAAAACTATTACACTATAACCACTCATATCAGGGTTGAACTTTTTGTTATTGTTGTTTGGTTTTTTGAGACAGGGTCTCACTATGTAGCTTAGGCTAGCCTCAAACTCACTATGTAGCCTGGGCTGGCCTCCAACTCAAGGCGAACCTCCTGCCTTGGCCTCCTGAGTGCTGGGATTACAGATGTGCACCACCACACCCTGCTCCGGGGTTGAACTCTGAACTAGAGCTGGACTGGCTTTAACCCTTTTTTCATCAACCTCTCTAATAAATATTTGAAGGCCAGGAGCCCTCCTTAGCAAAGACTTCTCCACATAGCAATAAACACTTGGGGAGTTTCATCTCCTCTTCCCAAAACCACAGATCTCAGAATAAGAAACTAACTTGGACAAGAAGGAAAGTATTCACAAAAAACTAAAACTAGAAATTCTATTTGACCCAGCTATTTCCCTTCTAGGTAAACAGTTAAAGACATATTACAGTGATATACGCACACCCATGTTTATAACAGCACAATTCTTAACAGCTAAATTTTGGAAACAGCCTGTATGTCCCTCAACAGATGCACAGATAAAGAAAATATGGTGCTCTATGTTTATAGCAGCTCAGTTTGTAATTGCTAAATCATGGAAACAGCCCAAATGCCCATCAACTGGTGATCGGATAAAGATGTGGTTTTTTTTATAAAATGGAGTACTACTCAGCCATAAAGAAAGATAAACTAGAGACATTTATAGCTAAATGGATGCAGCTTGGGGCCATACTCTTAAATGAAATCAATAGGAAACATGTAAATACCAAATTGTTTCTCTGGTGTGAGAAACTGAAAGTGTAAATGAGGGCCAAAATGTATTAAACTGTGAAATAGGAAGAAAATGTTCAAAAGGGGGGGGGCAACGCAGGGGAAATGAAAGGCGAAGAAAAGAAGGAAAAAAAGGAAACAAAGCTTATGTGTATAGGGAGGGGTGGATGGGTTGGAGGGCAGGGGAATGGGAAAAAAATAAGAGCCAAGATATATCATGTACAGGTACAAATTCCCAATGATGAATGCGATCATTATGAATACCTAAAATGTACCAATAAACTCAATAATTTTTTTTAAAATATGAAGCTTATACACAATGGAATATCATTTTGCCACAAAGAAAGATAAATTTGAGTGATGTGTAGGAAAATGGATGCACCTCAAGACCATAATGTTAAGCGAAATAAATCAGACATGTTAGCTTAAATATCACATGATTTCTCTCATGTAAGAGAACCCCAAAGTATAAATAATTTTAAGAGCAAAATAAAAGACAAGTAATAGCAAACAGAGAGACAGAACTTTTGTAAATAGGAAGAGGACCAAGAGATTGAGGGAGGCGCAGGGGAAGAAGGAAAAGGAATTAAGATGTGTTATGTACATGTACCACGATGAAAGAGTATTCAATGCAACTTTCTGTAATGCAATTTTTGAGAATTAAGATCTTCACAAATAAAATTTGAGAGAACACTACAGTGCAACTTCTAAGGGGAAAAAAGACATGCCAGACACTTTCCCATTACCTTATTTAGAAGACTGCATAAGGCCATCAATAAAATTTTAACTGTAAAAGAAACTTCCTCCTCCAAAACTGAAGCCCCCAAATGTAACAGGCTCGTACTACCCACTCGTTAGTAGCCAAGTTACGACAGGAAGGCAGGCCTTCGGTCCCCAAACCCGGTCCACTTAAATCTCGCTGGGTTCCTACACTGTACGCCCGGAGTGCTAGGACTGAGAGAGCTGGCGGGGAGTCGATGGACCGCAGCGGGAAGGGTAAGAGAGATGTGCAGCAGGGAAGGGTCTCTTCCTACTCGCGCGAAAGCCTGCAATACAGATAACGTGAGGCCAGACTCGTGGGGCTCACCTGTCCGGCGCCCAGAGGCGGGTGGTGCGGTCTCGGGACACGGACACAAAGGCCCCCGGCGGATATAGACAGCACACCAGGCCCCGCACGTCCAGCTCGTGCCCCGGGAGCGAGCAGCTCAGCCGGTACCTGGCGCCGCTACTCGCCATGGCCGGAATCGGTCGGGCTCCTGGGACCCCGACGCCTCGCGAAATCCGTCCCCAGGGCAGACCCGGCGTACTCCAGGCTGCAGCACAAGAGGGGCCTTCAGGTGAGTAGCAATCGGAGACCGGAAGGGCCTCAGAGGCGGTGCGGAAGGGCGGCGAAGAAGGGGCGCGCCGAGTAAGCCGAGTGACACAGCAACCCTGACAGGCACACCGGAATTCATCATCGGCGTCGGCCCGCCATGACGCAGTCTTCGTGCGTCGCGACTTCCGAGCCGGGCGCGAGGCCGAGGTTCGCCCCCCCCCCCCCCCCCGCCCCGCGCTCTGTGGACCCGGGCAAAGGAGATAAAGGTCTCTGGCCCTTCTCTTCGTCGCAGCACGCAGGACTCTTCTCCAATTCCGTCCCTTCCGAGACGCCGCCGAACTGTTTAAATCCGAGCTGGAACTACAAATCCCACAATGCTGCTCACGGGGGGCGTGAGCGGCCAGCGCGCCGAATCCAAGTATTTTAAATCTGGACTCCCCGCGTTACTCACGGCGGGATTGTTGAATAAAGTGTTTCCTATCTTCTGTTGGAATTGTTTACATCATTTTCTTCAGACCTTTGCAAGAGTCTTCTAAGATTCTTTCCAAGCTAAACGTTGTGTTTAAATTAAAACGAGAGAACTTCAGCCCAGATTGGGAACTTCCTTTAAGTTATCCCAGTCTCCTTGCCCGTTACCATCATATTTAGCAAATAAATACTATGGTCGGTTGTTTCGAATTGGCCCTATTTTCGCCTGCGTTGATAAAGTAGGACTAGGGTGGAGTTGAGAATACATATTTTTAATCAAATCCCCGTAATGCTTTTGTGGTTCAACATTGACAGTGATAGATACAACTCGTCCTATTTAATTTCCCTTCTACTCTGTTCGCTCATATCCAACTTCTTGAAGGCCACAGACTCTTCTAAAGTGCCAAGCCCAATTTGCAGTTTTCTTTAAAAAAATTTTTTTATTAGTACATGTTTGCAGTACATAATGATTACTTCTCTTTTCCCTTTTTAAAAGTCTCACAGGTTTGGAATCACTGCTCTGATTCCTGCTTCTCTGATGTGAGCCCGAAATATTGTTATTTAAATATCTCTTCTGCCCTTATACCCGCTCCCTACGTGGACTATTTACTACTTCATTTCTAATGCTGGGTCCCCAGATTGGTGTTTTCAAACTCTAGCTCCATACCTCCAGCTTCCTACTGGAAATTTCTACCTAAATTAAAAATACCTAGTGGTCTCTTGCATAAATCATTTCAACATTCTCTAATCTTTCTGCCTGTTCTCCCCAGTCAAGCAGACACATTAATTTAGGATTTTTTTTTTTTTTTTTGGTACCAGGGATTGAACTCAGGTCCTTGAGCTTGCGAGGCAGGTGGCGGAACCACTGAGCTAAATCCCTGGCCCAAACATAAGATTATTACCGTGTGTGTGTGTGTGTGTGTGTGTGTGTGTGTGTGTGTGTGTGTGCGCGCGCGCGTTTGCGCATGTGTGTATTACTGGCTATTGATCCCAGGAACTTCACACTGTGTATATCCCCAGCCTCTTCTAATGTTATTATTTTGAGGCAGGATCTTGCTCATCACTAATTTGCCCAAGCTGGGCTTGAACTTTTGATTTTCCTGCCTCAGCTTCCCAGAATGCTGGGATGACAAGTGTGTGGATTAAAGCAGGATTTAAAGAAAATAAATTCTTCTCAGCCTTGGGCACCCCTGCCCCCCTCAGTCACCCTTCTCTCCTCAGCTGTAACTCCTTGTTCTGGTAGAGATAAAATTGGCAACTATGTCCTGTAAACTAAGTTTATGTCATCTTGTTCTCACAAGATTCACAAGGCTCTGTCTTCTTTCAAGGCTAAATTGCAAAACTGCCTGCCCCTGTCCTGTTCTGGTAAACTCACTTGTTACATCACTAAAAAGACCACCCCCCCAAAAAAAAAATGTATAGAAACCAAAACATTTCCTTCTCCAGCACTCAGGGTTTTAGACAGGAGTCCAACTGAGTCAAGGTGCACCTATTAAATCCTCCTAATTCCCATTGGTCTCTCCTGTCTCTCAAAATTCTGCAGCAGCATCACATCTAGAAAGACTCTTTCTAAAAAATAGATCTAGTTATGTTAGTCCTCTGTTCAGTAACCTCTGATAGCTTTCCATTCTTGAAGTACATCACTGTACAAGGCCTTTCACATCATCTTAATCTGTTTTACCAGATTCCTCTCTTTTTGGTCACTCCCTTACCTCACCCATACTGAATTTCCCCAAATACATCATGCTGTTCATGCAGTTCTTTGGACGTGTATTTTCTCTTTTTTCTCTCTCTCTCGTTTAAAAATCTATAATGCTTTCTCTGTCATATATCAGCACCCATTTATCATTTGTACTCTTCAAGTTCCTGTGAGACCAATGCCATTTTAACCTGTCTCCAGTATAGTATTTGCTGCCTTCTAACACATTCATTTTTTTCTACCAGACTAAATTTCATTTAGAGCCTTTCATTCTTCTTGAATCTTACACATCTAGTTTACTGCTTTTTGCATAATAGGTCCTCAGTGAATGTTTTCCCACTTTATAGAGTACTTATTTCACTTATAGAGCAATTTTCACAGTCTCTCATTTAGGCTTTACAGTAACCCTGAAAGATAGTATTATTATTTCCACTTCACACATAACGAATTTGCCTTCTTTAAAAAATTAAGTTGGTGCATGCCTTATAATCCCAGCTCTACATAGGCTGAGGCAGGTAAATCAAACTTCAGGCCAGTCTGGATTACATAGTAGGACCTTATCTCAAAGACAGGAGGGGCGAGGGGAGGGCAAGGGTGAGGCGGAAGAAAGACCATCAAGATGGCTCCAGTTGTTGAAGCCCAATTCAACAGTAAATGGAAGGCCGGGGATTTAGCTCAGTGGTTCTGCTGCCTGCCTCACAAGCACAAAGTCCCGAGTTCAATCCCTGGTACCAAAAAACCCCAAAAAAACAGTAAATGGAAACCTACACTTAACAAATCAGAACCCACCAAACTATCCTTTGGGACTTTTCACATGTGTTCTTAGCCACATTTAAGATGTAAATCAGACATAGACTAGTTCTAAAGTGAAAGTAAAATGAAAGTTTAACCAGCAAATATGTTTTCTCAGTCTTGTTCCTAGAATGCCTTATAAAAGTTTCCCCTCAAGTTCCCTAGATGGTACCCAAACTGCATGTTATTTGGCTTTACCCAATTCATGAATGGCTACTCAAATTTTAAAATTTTGTGTGGCAGAAGCTGTGGTACACACCAATACTCCCAAGAGGCTGAGGCAGAAGGGTTTCTCGAGCCCAGACATTGGAGGCCAATGTGGGCAACATTGTGACCATGTCTGAAAGAAATTTATCTTATTTTTTATTTTTAGACCCGGGCTGGCCTTTAATTCATGAGCTCAAGGGCTTTTTCTGCAGATACCGTATGTGGAAACCTTTGACAAAGTGATAAAAGAAATTGAATACCAGGCCAAGAAGTATGACAACACAAAGCATTTAATTCAGAATAAAGAGATAAGGTGAAAGGACTTCAACTTGAGGAGATCTAAAGAGGGCATAGCACTGACAGAAAAAATAAGGCTGGCTTCTTAACAAAGGAAAGAGGTCAGATTTTACGGGGTTACTAGGGTAGGCTATGGTCTAGTTTATCATTAGGTCAGTTCTGGTTCTTCAAAGTAGTTCTGGAGAAGTCCTTATTACTCGGGGGCAATCTGGTTCCCATGAGATGATTGCTCCTGCTTAGGGGGGTGATCTCATTATGGGTAGTCTGTCTCTAGAGACTTGACTGGAATGAGATTTTGGGCCAATGACTGGAGATATCTAGATAATGCTCCAGGGGGGTCTGGACTAGGATGTTGTAAAGGGTACCAGTTGAGTATCGCTATAAATCTTCAGAACACCTTAGTCCTCAAGTGATGAGATAGGTTAGGTACATTTGGGCAATAAACCTTGTATTATCAGTTTTTAGATACTCCTTAAATGATTAACTTGCCTGTGTGTAAGGCTAAGCTGGGATCTAGCATAAAGTTTTAAGGCAATAAATGAAACATACAGAACGAAGGCAAGGATGTCAAGATTTATCCTGCTTAGTCTCTCTCTGGACATCTATAGGCCCAAGTAAAAAGTGAATGATTTTTAAGCAAAGGCAATTTTTAAGTCTTTAACTGTCTCATTACCACACCTCCCAAGTAACTGTCACTGGCTACCATGGGTCCTTATCCTTGTGGAAGATAGAATTGATGTGGATAGTTCTGAGCAGCTAGTGCAGGTCCTTGTTTCAGTGGTAGTGGAAATTAAAAATGAGGCCATCGGCACAAATTTTACAGGCAAAAGCTTTTAATTGGAAAGTAAGAGAAGGTGGTAAAGGACTTTAGCTTCAGGAGCTGAAACCAAGCTGGGAACATCTCTGACAAATATCAAGTTGTCTCCTTAACAAAGGAAAGTAAGAGAAAATACAGAAGAAATTGAAATCTCTTGAACTAGAAGAAGCACAAGTTTAATGAAGAGGATCAGACTGGTCCTATCAAAAAAGAACCAGGCTAGACTTTATGCATTTGTTGGAGTAGGTTAGAATCTGATTGATCATTATCTCAGCTCTGCTTTTGCAAGACGGCAGTTTCCCCCTATTGCTCCAAGGGGAAATTCGGCCTCCATAGTATGATTGTTTCTGGAAGTTGACCATAGGTTTAGGGCAATGGAGACTTCTGGAAATAGATGAATGTCCCTGTAAATCTCTTCTCTTGGTGTCTTCAGTCTTAAAGGGGGATGAGATTGGTTATGTAAATTTAGGGCTAATCAACTTTGTTTTGCCAACTTTTATTCACACATCTCCTAAAGGACTAACATGCCTATACACAAAGCTCAAAAGGGAATTGAGCCCAAACTTTATAAAATAAAGGTCAAGCTTTGTTTTGCTTTTAGTTAACTGTTGGGTGTCTATCTATAAGCCCAAGGGAAGAGTCATTGATCTTTTTTTCAGCAAAAACCGCTTTTACTTCCCTGACTGCCTCAGAAGAAAATTTAAATTATGCTTTTAATGAGAAGCAGGTGAGATCCCAGGAGTTTTTCTCCTCTGTCCCTATAATGCTCTCTTACCGTGTCAGTTCTAAAGTGAAAATAAAAGTTTATTCTGGGAAAGAAACATACAACTGGCCACCCTGCAGGCAATCCAGCCCCAGGAAAGAGAGAGCAAGGCATCTACTCCGTAGACAGACAGAGCCCGAAACAAAGGAAGCATCCCACTTTTACAGGGTTTCAAAGGAATGTCATTAATCATTCATGGATGTTTCCTAAAGAGGCAGAAGACTAAACTGAGTTTAGTTACTCCATAGGAATGTTTGTGCACAACCCAAAATATATTTAGACATATGTAATGTGCCCCTCTGGGTGGAGATCTTACCATACAAATGCCTCACAATAAAGCTATAGTGAGGTTTAGAGTCACCTCTTGGTCAGATCCATCATCACCTTTGCTTGTACTGATCGTTTCCAATTTGCCTGTCAATTCCATTTTTTTCCCTACAGGTTTTTTGTTTGTTTTTAAAATTTTTATGTTATTGGTATATACCTGTAGTACATGAAGTTTATTTTCATCTTACAAAATAGGTACATGTACTTAACGTATCTTGATTCTTTTTTATTCTTCTTTCCCTTCCCCTCTCCACCCACCTCCCTCCCTCAGACTCTAGATCCCCTTTCCCTAATTTCATTATTATTGTAATTATTATTTTTCTTTAGTTAATGTTTGTGACACCTTAGCTTGCTCCCTTAATAATTTGATTTCCACCTCTTATCACCAAAAGTTGCAGGTACCTGCTTGTTTTCATTCAGGCTACTAGCTTCAAAGTCCTGCCTGATTGATTCCTGACCCATAGTTGAGACTGTAGGTCAGGTCAGTGTGAAGGCCAATGCAACTGGCTAAATTTATCATACAGGGTAAGCATTCAATAGTACAGTTAGATTTTGGATCTAAAATGACCATAAAAGCCCCATATGTTTGGAAGGTGATTGATTATGAAGGTGCAATACCTGACTTGCTGTTAGGAGGTGGGGTCTGGTTGGAAGAGCCAAGTTATGGGAGTGTGGGTGGTGGGTGTATCTCCCTCCCAGCTGATCCTTTCATTCTCTGCTTCCTGGCCACCATGACAAGAGCAATTTCCCCCTATTGCTCCAAGGGGAAATTTTCTACCATGTGTCTCTTGCCTTGGAGATAGGTCACCACAGGCTGAAAAATAAACCTCTCCACCTTAAATTTGTGAATGTTGAGTATTTTGTCCCTGTGATAAGAAAGTGACTATGACAAGTACTTATTAAATTAGTTAACTGAGATAACTATTTTCAGGTAAGATAGCAAGAACATAATGGAGCTGAGACTGAACTTAAATTCTGTGAACAGTAAACTGAATTCTTGGTACTTTTTTCATAATGATATTTTATATGTTAAACAATTCAAAAATTTATACTAATGATTTTTTTCTAACTGTCCATCTGCATATAAATGATAATTTCTGGATCCCCTGTCATATGCCTCAGGGCATGTAGGAGAAATCACCATATTGTCAGGAGCTCTTTTAGAGATAATCTATAGAATCACTGGCCATCCAGACCAAACATTAAAGTTTATATAAACTTATCTGAGTGTTTTTTTTTCTTATGTTACTGCAGATTGAACCCAGAGGTGTTCTACTACTAAGCTACATTCCCAGTCCCTTTTGTTTTGAGACAAGGTTTTGTTAAATTGCCAAGGCTGACCTCAATCTTGTAATCTTCCTGCCTCAGCCTTCCAAACAACAGGTGTATACCACTATGCCAGGCTGGTGACTCATATTTAACCACCTTATTATAGTAATGTAAGACTGTGCGTCTCACCAACTGCTCCGAGGAGCTGACTACAGTGAGGATCACCTGGGAGGGAACACACCAGACAAGTTGTGAACTTAAAACAGACCTTTATTAGTCTGGCCAGATGGCACCCCCCCAAGCACCAAGCTTAGAGAGGCGAGAGCCTCAGAGCATGAGGTCCTTTTATAGGAGATGCTAGGGGGAAGTTGGCAAGCAGAAATACAAAGCGAAGTGCTGAAGGAGAGGGATTTTACAGATTGTTCTGTTATGGAGTTGGGTAAGCATGACGGAACACTGCACACTCAACAAACCTTCCTGGCGCAACAACAAGTACATTCCTGGAACTCGATGTTCCCTTGGTGATCCATAACAGAAGCAGACAAGTTGGGGCCCTATTACAAAATGGAGTAACTGTTGTTCAGTCTCACAGTAAGGGCTCATAAACTATCAAAAAATTTCTTCTCTCTTTTTAAAAATCTTTCTTTACAATATGATATTTCTTTTCTATATAGTAAAAGAGGTTGGTTTCTACTTTTTTTGTTTTTGACTTGGCTTTCACTTTATGTAATTGGGAATTTTATCATCACAGACCTTCCTTACCTAACTCCCATCCTAATATGCTTGCTGTGGAGAAAGGAAGGGGATGGAAAAAAATTTTTTAAAATGTTATATCCATGTTCCAACTCCTCGTGTTGAATGTAATAATTACAAACTGCAAACATGTATTAATAAAAATAAAAAATTTCAAAAAGCAAATGAAAAGTAGTATTTTTGCTGTTTTCTGGTACTTCTTGAAAGACCCTAGTTAGCAAGACAGACTCCATATTGCTGCTTGACCCACCTGTCTGCCCTTTAGATGAACTCAGAAGGAGGAAGCTTAAAAACCTCCTCCCCTTAGAAAACCTCTTTAGAAATAACAATTAATCAACTATTGTTTTACAAATGTTCTAACAGCAGGACGTTCTGCTTCTGTACCTTTTGCTTGCTTTACTAGTTCTATCCCATAGGGGGGGCCTAGAAACTGTTGGCCTCAAAGGTGTATAAAACATGTTTGTCTTCCCCCAGTTGAGGCTCAAGTCTGATGCTCAGCTCAGGTCCCAGCCAGTAATAAACTCCTGTGTGGATTTGGTATCAGTCTCTGGTTGGTTCTTTCTCACTGGGTGCAACATTCTTAGAGGCCCCAGTGAGATAGCCAGCTGCTCTGGAACTTATTATCTTGGATCCATTGTTTCTTTTTAGAAAAGACCAGGATTGGACATCCGCAGTGTTCGGCCCCTCTGAACACCGGTCTGTGGAAGGAGAGGGCACCCTGATGGTATTCTGGGGCTCGGCCACCCTGACGGTATTTAGGCCAGTCCCAGCCGGGCCCTATCACCGATCAACCGACCCGCAGGAGTTTGTTGGGAAAGCCTCTAGAGGTAAGAGTCAAATGATTCTTAGTGCACTCTGGGTAGGTAGGAGGAAGCCAGACACAGCACAGGTTCCCCTACCTAGAGTCTCTTCTCGATGGCAAGCAGACTCACTGGGTTGGAGTCCTCAGAAGAGTGACTCCCTGGGTGGGGTCAGAATCCATTCGGCCTCAGAGGTTTTACTTGGCCCAAGTTTGTCTCTGTCTGTTTATTGTTGTCTGTCTGCTTGCTCTGTGTGCCTTTTGCATTTTCACAGGCTAAAATTATGGGTTCCTCACAGTCCACAGAAGGAACTCCACTTGATTGTGTTTTGAATAACTTCAAAAAAATTTATTCCACAGACAAGGAAGATGAATATGGCATGAACCTGGGATGATTGCCAGCAGCTTTTACAGATCCTGTTCACCACTGAGGAACGGACCGCATTTAACAACAAGCAGTCAAAGAGGCCCTGGGGCCAAACCCCAGCATCACTCCTGGAACTCCAGGGCATTTGGCCAGGGCTGAAACAGTAGTTCCGTCGTGACACCCCAAATGGGACCCCAGTGATGATGATGGTAAGAGGAGGCTGGGGACCTACCGCCAGCACTTATTAGGGGGACTCCAGGTAGCTGCCAAAAAGCTCACTAATTTGAGTAAGGTAAGTGAGGTTCGCCAGGAAAAAACAGAGTCTCCGACTGTGTTTTTAGAGAGACTCTTGGAAGCCTATAGACTTTTCACTCCTATTGACCCAGAGGCTCCCAAAAGTGCAGCAGCTTTAAATTTGGCCAGTCAGCCCCAGACATTAGAAAAAAAATTACAGAAATTAGAAGGATTTGAGGGAAAGAATAAGACTGAACTACTGAACATAGCCCAGAAAGTTTATGATAACCATGATGCCCCCCGAGGAAGTCCTAGCCAAAAAACTGGGGAAAGTCACTATTGCTTCACTCCAGGCACAAGAGAGAGTCCCTCCGGACAGAAAAAGAGAAAGCCACCTTTTTGGCTTTAAAGAAAGCCTTAGCGTCAGCACCAGCCCTGGCCCTACTTGATGTCACCAAGCCCTTTCGGTTGTTTGTGGCCGAATGAGGGGGCATAGCCAAAGGAGTGCTAGCTCAGGCATTAGGGCCTTGGAACAGACCTGTGGCCTACCTGTCTAAAAGACTTGATCCTGTGGCAAGTGGATGGCCTACCTGTTTGAGGGCAGTTACAACCACTGCCCTCCTGGTCAAGGAGGTAGATAAGCTCAGCCTGGGACAGGACGTGGTCATCACCACACCCTATGTGGTGGAGATGTTGCTGAGAGGAGCCCCAGAATGATGGCTCTCCAACGCCTGCCTGACTCAGTACCAGGCCCTGTTGCTGAATGCTCCACACATCAAATTCACCCGAGAAACGACCCTCAATCCGGTCGCCTTACTCCCGGACTCTGGCTCATATGCATGCCCCTCCATGACTGTCTGGACACTCTGACAACTTCCACCACCAACTGCCCACACCTAACTGATGTTCCCCTGCAAAGCCCAGATGAGACCTTCTTCACCAATGGAAACAGCTTTGTGGAAAACAGAGTCAGGTAGCGGTGGTGGCCATAGTCAGTCCAGGAGGACAGGTGCATTGGACACAGGCATTAAGCCAGGGGGCTTCAACTCAGAGGGTTGAACTAATAGCCTTAACCCAAGCCCTGTTAGGTTGAGACAAGGCTGTAAACATCTACACTGACAGCTGGTATGCATTTGCCACTGCCCATGTGCATGGCGACATCTACAGATAGAGAGGGCTATTGACATCAGAAGGGAAAACTATCAAAAAAAAATTTTGGCCTTATTGGAGACAATTTGAGAACCCAGGGCGTTGGCCATTATTCATTACAAAAGCTACCAAAAAAGAGACAGCTTCGAGGCCCGAGGTAACTGAGAGGCTCATGATGCGGCCCGATGAGTGGCCAGAGAACCAGTGGGGCCAATAGACATTCTGCCCATCCAACCCTTTGGCTACCTCCCAGAAAGACCCACATATACCCTGGAAGAGGAAGAGGAAAACCAAAAGCGAGGGAGTACAAAACTGGACTCAGGCTGGTGGAAAGGGACAAACAAACAAATTTGTCTCCCCCAAGCCCTAGAGCGACAACTTGTTCATCAGTTACATCACTTAGCTCACTTGAGAAAATCAAAGTTAAAAAGACTAATGAGCTCTAAGTTTTCAATCCCAAGACTGACCTCTATGGTTCAGGACATCAGTTCCAGGTGTCAGATGTGTGCACAGTTAAACTCCAAGGTGAAACCAAAGAACAAAGGTAATCGACTATGGGGAAGAGCCAGGGGAACATGGGGAACTTGATTTCACCAAAATAAAATCCAGCGATAGGTTCAAATATTTACTGGTATTGGTTGACACCTACTCAGGTTGGATAGAAGCTTTCCCCACTCATGGAGAATCAGTCAACATAGTAACTAAGGTTTTTCTCCAGGAGATATTTCCCCGATTTGGCATCCCTCATTACCTGGGGTCTGACAATGCCTTCATGGCACAGATATCCAAATTGTTGGCAAGAGCACTACATATCAATTGGAAGTTACACTGTGCCTATCGCCCACAAAGTTCAGGGCAAGTGGACAGGATGGATAGGACCCTGAAAGAAACACTGACTAAATATGTTCTAGAAACTGGCGGTAGGTGGCCCAATCTGCTTCCTCTAGCCTTGTTAAGAGTTAGATGTACCCCATATGCGATAAGTTTACCCCTTTTGAAATCTTGTATGGGAGGCCGCCGCCACTCCTCCCTAAGTTAAACCTTGAACAGATAACAGAGAGTTCTTGTGTCTCTTTACTTCAGTCTCTTCAAGCCTTACAGATTCTTCAGAGTGAGATCCAGGCTACAAGACAACAGGCTCGAGAAAAAGCCTCTGCGACATTCCAGCCCCATGGTTTCAAGTCAGGAGACCTGGTCCTGATATGCTTGGTCTGCTTGCACCGAGGACTTGACTATTTAAATACATTCCCAAATCAATCTTGGCTACCCAATCTGCCACTTTATTTTGTGTCATGGTGTATGTTTTCCACAAGTCTTGTATTATAATAAAAAAGGAGGCCGCGAACATCTGGGATTAACCACTGAACACTATAGGAGTAAATGGGCTGCCCCCGTTTTAGTGCCCATTCTGGTGGGATTAGGAATAGCCAGGTCAGCGGCTATTGGAACTTCCTCCCTGATCCTTCAGGACAAATTTTAAAGCCCTAAGCCACCAGGTAGCCAGAGATTTGGGTTGCCTGAAAGACTTGATCTCTAGATTAAAAAACCAGGTTGATTCCCTAGCTGAGATGGTCCTACAAATCAAAGGGGACTTGACCTCCTGTTCATGAAACAAAAAGGGTTATGTGTAGCCCTAAAAAAACCCAAAAACCTGTTGCTTCTATGCTAATGGTTAACTACCCTAGTTTCTGCTATAGCAGGCCCCCTAGTTATCTTACTTCTGCTTTTGCTCGTGAGACCTTACATTACAAATGCTCTGACTAAATACATTAGACAGAGGGTTGATACAGTTAAACTGGTGGTGTTGAGACAAAATTATGAAATTTTAAAAGACGTTTTAAAAAAAATTCAAAGAGTAAATATAGGAATCAAAGATTTGATTAAGTTACAAGAACCAGTGGGGCAGGAAAGACCCTGGTTAGCAAGACAGACTCCATATTGCTGCTTGACCCACCTGTCTGCCCTTTAGATGAACTCAGAAGGAGGAAGCTTAAAAACCTCCTCCCCTTTGAAAGCCTCTTTAGAACTAACAATTAATCAACTATTGTATTACAAATGTTCTAACAGCAGGACGTTCTGCTTCTGTACCTTTTGCTTGCTTTACTAGTTCTATCTCATAGGGGGGCCTAGAAACTGTTGGCCTCAAAGGTGTATAAAACATGTTTGTCTTCCCCCAGTTGAGGCTCGAGTCTGATGCTCGGCTCGAGTCCCAGCCAGTAATAAACTCCTGTGTGGATTTAATATCGGTCTCTGGTTGGTTCTTTTTCACTGGGTGCAACACTTCTCAGTTTCAGGCCTCACCCACTTTCACAGAGTTATTGTTAACAGGCCCATATGACTGCAACTGGCCACTTTCTTGTTCCTGTGTTGATCGCTTATCCTTCTTCAGAGTCTACTCTGGCTTCAGTTTTCACATTTCCGTCTCTCCTCTTTGAAGTTCATTGAGTAGCTAGGATTTCAGGGGTGTCACTCCTGGCCTACCTTACAGTTTTTTTTTTCTCAGTATGATACCTTCAGTATGACAGTAAAAACGCCTAGATTCACTATAAAATAACGGTAATACAAATTAAATGAAAATAAAGTTAAGGTCAATATACTCCAGGGCTGGTAACTTAGAAGGAAAAAGTTAGGCAAGCTAAAGCAAGAAATCTTTAAGAGCAATGAAATTTGGCTTGTGTGTAAAAGTGATACTGATAGAATTCTAGGGGCGAAGAGAAATTTCTCCTCCTCTCTGAAGGTTTTCTGGAATAAAGGATGATTTAAAGGAAGTAAAATGCCAATTTTCAAATCCTAGCCATCTAGTATTCTGCCCTGGGACAATTGTTGTTATTGGTTTCCTGTATACTTCCCAAAGATCATTTATATAGATGTGGGGATATATGAGCTTTGACTACTTCACCATACATGTTGGGTCACTTTCCATATTGCAGGGAAAGAAAAATAATTGCTTTCTCTTGCTTCTCATGTTCAGTTTCTGGAGAACTTACAAACTGAACTGACAAAACATAGATTAACAGGAAGAAAATAATTTGTGTGCATATGAGAGCATGTAAAAGAAGGAGCTGACTCATCAAATAGTTAAGGGCTTATACATCCAACTTACTAGGGAAAAGGGAGGGGTGTGTGTGTGTGTGTGTGTGTGTGTGTGTGTGTAATGTGTAATGGTTTCGTTTTGTACCAGGGATCAAACTTGGGACCTTGTGTTTGCAAAGCAGGTTGTGGAACCACTGAGCTAAATCCCCAGTCCTGTGTAATGGTTTCTATCAAAAATTCAAATGGTTTTCTTTAAGAAAGACATGGAATTTCAGGAGAACAGACAATCTATACATATCTCTATATAGGTTTGAATATCTTTCCAGTATCTTCAGGGTTACAAATCAGAAGATTTATGGTGGCCTTGTTGCCTGGAAATTGCTGCTTTTATTAAGATAAGGAAAGCTCTGAGAAGCTTTTTCTCCTCATCTGGTGAATCTCATATGTTTTCAGTTTAAAATAATTTTTCTACACTTTTTTTTTTTTTTTTTTTTTTTTTTAGTGCCAGGGATCGAACTTGGGTCCTTGCGCTTGTGGGGCAGGTGGCGGAACCACTGAGCTAAATCCCCGGTCCTAAAATAATTTTTATGTTAACTCTGGCCTTCTAAATTTATCCCCATAAGGATACCCTTCCCCTCCACCCCACCCACAACTAGGGATCAATACCTAGGACCTTGTGGATGCTGGGTAATCATTGTTCAATCACTGAGCTACATCCTTAGCCCAGGAGCTTTTTAAAAAAATGATATATAATGTTTAATGGCAAAAGAAAGCTTTTATGCATTATTGTATATTGACTATAGTAGTCTACAAACTGAAGATTTTAAGTTAAACAGTCCTTTTAAAAATTACATATATATTGGGCCGGGGATTTAGCTCAGTGGTTTCGCCGCCTGCTGCGCAAGCACAAGGACTTGAGTTTGATCCCTGGTACCAAAAAAAAAGAAAAAAAAATTACATATATTACAATGAATACATCCCACCAACCTATCTAGATAGAAATAAAATCTTTGTACTATTATTTTCAGACATCAGTTCCACATTAGTACTATATTATACTATATTCTCAGACATCAGTACTATATTATAGAATTGGATCTATATGGCTTGCCTTTCAAAGATAGTCAGGTGTCTCTAAAAAGTGGTTTAGCCAATTCCCTTACGCTTTTTTTGTTTGTCTGTGTTCCCTCAAAGCTAGTACAATTTATTTCTTAGAATAAAACTAAAATTATACATTTGATATGACAAGATGGGATAAAACTCTTATAGAGGAAGAAACAAGTTCAGAGCTGGGACAACGTAAATATTTATGCAGGCTTTCTATTATAATACTGACTAGAAATATTTTTAATCTTCTTGTCTATCCAAAATATCTTATTTTTAGGGCCGGGTATTTACCTCAGTGGTTCCTACGCCTGCCTCACAAGCGCAAGGTCCTGAGTTCAATCCCCAGTACCAAAAAGAACCCCCCCAAAACAAACAAACAAACAAACAAAAAACAGGGCCGGGGATTTAGCTCAGTGGTTCTGTTCCCTGCCTCAAAAGCACAATGTTCTGAGTAGTTTGATCCCTGGTACCAAAATACCTTATTTTTAATAGCCAAATCATCTGTGATTTTTATGGCTATGATATTATTCAATCAGTGTCTTTAGATTTTTCCTAATCTTTTACTATAACAAATGAATAACCATGGTTATGATTATATGTATTCTATAGACATGAATTCAAAATGAATATATTGTATGCTGAATTCCTCAACGTCCTGGTTCAACGGACACACACATTTGAATTTTAACAGCCATTTTCTTTCCATAGATGCTCCCAGCAGTGTATCTAATTTTCTGTTTCAGTTGATGTAATAAGTAATCTCTTCTTGGCCAGGTCTTCCTATCCAGGGATATTCAAATGACCGATAGGCCAACAAGACCAGGGATATAGCCTGCAATTATTTGGCTGAATCTGGTTTACTTCCACTGAAAATTTTGAATATGGTAAGATAATGTGGCAATAGAAAGAAGAAACCAAAAGATTCACAAGGAGAAGGTAATACACACATATGAGGCCACAGAGGTCCTAAGAAAGTAGCAGTGAGGGCTGAGGGTGTAGTTCAGTGTAAAATAGTAGCCTACCATGCATGAGGCCTTGGGTTCAATTCCCAGCACCACAATACATAAATAGATAGTAATGATGAAGAAAATTATAAATAATTAAGAAATCTTGACATACAACATGTATAAAAATAGAGGCTGAGATCTTTGGTTGAAAATTGCTGGAACAGAAGCAAAGGCAGAAAAGGAAAAACAAAGATAAGTTGTACAGCAGGGGTAAAGTAAATCCTTCTAAAAGAAAGTGATGCCTAGGTTTGAATTCTGAACATCTTTTTTTTTTTTTTTTTTACAGGAAACACCCTTTAATAAGGAAGGGGAAGGGAAGGAGAAAAAGGAAAGCAGTTACAATATGGCACATGATACAAAATAAATCAGTACACATAAATCCAATTGAACTATAAAAACAAATAGTAAAATATACCAGAAATAATAATAAATGTAAACAAATTAGGGTAGAGCAGTTACTAAACTGTATTAAAAAAATTCAGCTATGTATTTGCATAAGAGAAATATCTAAAAAAAAAGGCTTATAGAGATGGAAAGAGCTTACGTTGTACCTAGTAAAGTTTTCAAAGCAAAAATGTGCATTGTTTCAACCTTCAAAATTTTGCTAGGAATTATTTTATTTCCTTTTTTAAAGGTTAACTCAATTCTGATACTTTCTCTAAGTCTTACTTAATTTTCTCCCCCAAAGTTAGGTTACCAGTGAATTTAAATGTTAATTCTAAGATATTGCTATGTTACTGTTAATATCATTTATACTCTAATTAATAACACCTGAGAATTTTCTACCTGCGTTTGTAGGTGCTATTTTTTTTTAACCAACTCTTTGGTTATTGTTTTAATTTTTCCATTTCCCCAACTTTAATGAAGTTGAGCTTATTTCCATTTTTGTTGATCATATGGATTTCTTTATGAATAATCTATTCCATATTTTTTTCCATTTTTCTATTGGGCTGGTTGTGGCTATTTTAACTCTGCAATTTATGCTGTAATTATAATTATTTTTTTTCTTTTCATTGCCTTAGGCACAATTCTCCAAAACAATATTAAATAATTGTGACATAGTTTACCTGCCTACTTAATAGAGCTCTAATATTTTCTTGATTACAAAAACCAGCAAGAAACATTAAACAATATGTATCATATTTAAGTCATTGTATTATAATCCTTTTTTAAATTAGGAATTGCCATCCCACTATCAAATATTCTTTTCATGCTAATTAATTGCATCATGAAATTCTTCAGTATTAAAATGTTTACATTAAAATGTACAGATATTTTCAGATAAAATACAGAAATGATTTTTAATGTTTAATTTACAGAGTTAAGTTTTAAAATTTAATTGGCATTTCATAAGCAACAAAATTTAAAAATTAGTTTATATTACCTCAAAGTAAATAAATCAAAAGATAAAGTAACTTATCGCTGTGTTTATTTTTATAAAATACATTTGCAGAATTGTTTCTTCACACACTTGTGCTACAAAAATAAATATAAAACAAATATACATGATTAAATATGTTACAACATAAATACACATAATTTACATGTCAACAATTCTAAAACCATGGCATGTTTTATCCATGATTCTCAACATGTCTGAGAAGTAGGGAAAACAAAAGTACAAACACAACACACACCTTTTATATTTTTGCTTTTAAAAAGTTTGTACAATACAAATATATGAAGAGAATAAGCTTGCAGGTGTACATCCTCAGAGCAAAGTTAGGTTTCTTGTTTTACATTATGATCACCATATTTGGCAAGGGACTCAAATTTCATTCAACTTTTGAACCTCTTTTTAATTATGAAGAGTCTCAGTTGCTTCACTGTGGCTGAGTTCTTATGATTTCACTGCAGTCCTTAGGTTAATTCATTTAAAGAGTATTTACTGTAAGACACTCACTATGGCAGGCACTTACGGTATAAAATAAAGATGATTCTTCTCTCAAGGAATGCAAACTCTTCAGGTAGTCACAAATAATAAGAAACACCAACAAAGATTCTCCTTAACTGAACTCTAGCCAGGCTCCTCTGAGCCCTCGATGATGATGATGATGATGATGATGATGATGATGATGATGATTGTTATTATTGATATATATTTTGGTGGTATTTGGGATTGAATCCAGAACTTTCACACTTGATACATCCTGAGCCCCTTTTGAGACTGGGTCTTGCCAAGTTGCCTAGGCTAGGCTTGAACTTGGCATCCTTCTGTCTCAGTGTTCCAGAGTACTGGGTTTACAGGTGTGTGCCACAATGTCTGGCAAGTACCTGTATCTTAGAAACAACAGAACCAGAGGCTTGGGATGTAGCTCAGTGGTAGAATACTTACTAGCATATATGAGGCTTGGGTTTTTATCCCTAGAACCACAAAACTGAAGTGAAACAAAAATAATAGAACCCGATAAAAAATGGTCATGCTAAGTAAGGTAGTGCCTACTTGAAAGAAAAGGCTAATAAGTGAGATGTATTCCTATTCTATACTTTTTCATCATGAAAAGGCTATGGGAATAGAGATACTCCTTTTTACTCAAGTGATTTTAAGCAAATTATGTATCTCTTTGAAATTTGAACAATAGTGTCTGTTCTGCTAGTTTCAATTGTTAGATCTGTTAGAGTTCTTAATTGGAAGCAACAGAAACCATTTATGAGTGATTTAAGAGCAGAAATTTATTAAAAGTCATGACATAGCTCACAGACACTCCAGGAGGCTGGAGAAATAGGCTAGAGTTCTGCTCCCAATAAAGCCTCTAAGCACAAGCACTACAGCTTGCACTAACATACTCAAGCTCTCCCTTGACCGCTGCTGATAGACCTTTGCAGTCTTAGAACCTGGATGTAGTAACTGAGGCTGTCACCTTTCCTTGAAAAGACTCCACGAAGGCCTGCTTCTGGTTCTCATTCACCTTTGGGGTGTGTGCATCAGACTAGATTGGCATGTCTAGCAAATAATATGCTTATGCCTCAGAAATAAGGAAGACTAGGAAAGCTGGTATCAGTCACTTTCATTTACTATAGGGATGGAGCAGTAAGGGAGGAACCCTGTCAAAACTGGTTAGCTCCAAAGTGAGCAAAAGGACAACAAATGACTACTGAACATGGGTCAGGCCCAGATGAGATAAGTACATGAAAGCATTTTATAAATGTTAAGGAAGAATAGAGTTGCAAGACATTACTACATTTTGCACTGCACTGGTTTTAAACTCCTTGAAGGCAGGCATATATGAGAATAAATCTGGATGTGAATAATATATATATATAAATTGGAAATAATGTTAAGATTTTATATATATCTATATCTATATCTATCTATCTATCTATCTATCTATCTATCTATCTATCTGTATGTATGTATTTTTTCGGTACCAGGGATTGAACTCAGGACTTTGCGCTTGCCAGGCAGATGCAGCACCACTGAGCCACATCCCCAGCCCTAGGGCAAGATATTGAAATATCAATTTATATGCAATTACATTTGCTGTCTGTATGAAGACTGGAGAAAACGAAGTATATGTTATTTTATTAGAAAAGTGGGATTTGGGACGAAGTAGTTTCCAAGTTATTTTTGTACAAAGCGGTGATTGTAAGTAATTTCTAAATTTTTTAAAAAATAAATTTTATAAGAACACTTTTCATCTAATTCATAGCCTTCCACACTTATATCAAAGAACTCTAGTGAAGGGACGCTTCAAAATACCACAATCAGAATAGATGGTGATAGAATCGCACCCATACTTAATGTCTGAGTTATGCAGTAACAGGAGGGAAAACTGAGACAAATTAAGAGTTAAAAAAATTGTGTAATGTACTGCCTTCTACTTATAACCTCAGAATAGTCTTATATAACCCACTGCGTGGTAGCAGACAGGCAGTTATTTAGCGATATAACATCAGTTCAGGAAAGGCACTTATAAGTTCCTTTATCAAGAAAATCATGACAACGGACCTGGGCGTGATGGCACAGTGCCATAATCTCAGCACTCAGGAGATTGGGGCGGCAGGATGGCGAGTTCGAGGCCAGTCTGGGCCACACTAAGGATCCTCTCTCACAAGAGAAAAAGGAAAAGACAACCAAGGCGTTTAAACACAATCTTCTCTTCTGTTTTCTAGTTAACTTGCTGTTTTCCATTTCTTCCGAAAAACAATTGAGAAATCAGGAAAAAAAAAAAAAATCCCACAGAAGTTACTTCTCAAACATCGCGATAACACGTTGATCGCTCTCTTTCTCTCAGTTTGTTGCTACGGGGATCGGAGACGGAGGATTGGCCAATCAGGAGGAGGGATCTTTTTCAGTTCGGCCCTCGTTGCCGGGATACGCCAGGCGCGCAGAAGCTAGCTGTTAGGCCTGAGGGCCCTGGAAAGCTGATCTGAGGTGAACCGGAAGCTGTGAGTAGGCTACGAGTGCCTGTGGAATCCTCAACTGTGACGGCCTCTGAGAGTGGTTGGAGCGCTCCGGAGTCCTGCGGCTGCCCTTCTGCGCCGGCGGAGGTGAGAAATCTTAGGTCACATCCCTCTCCCTTCCTTCCTTGCCAGCTGCCTCTCGTAGGCGATCCTGATCGCTCCAACAAAACAAATTCGCATTATTCTGCCCAAAGCTGTTAGCGTCGGGCTCTTCGCCTGGCCAGGGAAGTTCTCACTTCTCTTTGGGCAAAAGATCACGTATCTCCTCCATCCATCTCCTGAGGAGATCGCCACGCCAAGACCACGGGGAAGTAACCAAGAGCCTCAGAGAAGTCATTGTGCGCTGAGGGATTTTACCGAGTACTGTGGTAGATTTCTGCCTCTTGGTCGCAGAGGAAAGGACTTAACGACTTGCTACTACACATATGTGAGTGGTTAGCTTAGGGAAGCAAATGCTAGTAATAATAATTAGGAGTCAGATGTTTTTCATATAATGTGTATAATCTTCACAACCCTGCAAGGTAGGGCTCCTGGCCATACATCTGCTTTAGAGACGAGGAAACACATCCAGAAGGATTAAGTGATGTGTCAAAATTACGCAGCTGTTGACTGTCAGAGGTAGAGTTTGTGTCCCTAATCTTTCTGGAACCAAAGGATGGGCTTGTGTGAATGTTTGGTATTCCCAAAGTTTACTAGTGCCACTCTTCTCTTTTTTTCTTAACCCCTGCTAGGACTGATGCTATATTAAGCCTTTTCCACTATAGTAAACCAGTGGCAAAGAAAATCAGGTGGAAGTATATTGTACATTTTCTGAAAGTTACCTGAAAAACAGTGCAGTGACTATTTTTGCTGGAAACAAAGGATTTGCTGTACTAGCTTTTGGAAAAAGAAGGTGCAGGTAGGTGGTTATAGAGTGGTCGTAGAAGGATTCCTAGAGTTTTAAGATATTAGGTGAGACGCATGTTAGGTAAGGGGGCTAATTAGGAGGCTGATATAATCTGCTTGAGTCAGTGAGACCCCAGATTGGCCAGTGCTGGAGGAATATAGAAAGGAAGAGGTACATGTTAAACATTTAGGAATAAAATCAGTAGGACCAAGTGATTAGGTATGGGGAGTGAGAGGGAGGAGAAATCAAGGATGAAGTTTCTTTCTTTTGTGAGCAGGAAATGGTACCAAGAAGAAGAGCACATTTTGGGGGATGATACTGCACTTAGATTTACATATGTTTATTTTGAAATATTTAGACAATGTCTGAGATGTTAGGTAGTTATATTTGAGTGTGTTAGGGCTGGAGATACAGAGTTGTGAACTTATGAATTGTTAAAACCCTGAGTATGGATGAGGTGGTTCTAGGAGAGCTTAGAGAGAAGAAAGAAAAATAGGCCACGGATGGTACCTGGGGAATGATGCTATTTAAGGGCAGGTAGAATAAGTTCAGAGACTAAAAAGGGAGAATCCAAAGAGGCAAGTGTTAGGGAGATGATTTCATTAAGGATGGACACAGTAACAGGTGACATCTACATCCCTGGTGATGTTAGCATAGGTTGTTCGAATGGAAATCTGGGAACTTAGAAGCTCATGAAAATAGGCTACTTTTAAGAGTTTGAGTGGCTGAGTATGTAGTCCCCCCCGCTACTTTGAGCCCATAAGAATATTTGAGACTGACTTAGAGGTGAGTGCAGGACCAAGAAATTCATTTGTGTGGTTAAGAAATGCAGTTCAGTGTGATAATAGGCTGAAAGAAGGGAGAAAATTTATATATATCAGGGAGAGTGGAGGTAATGCCCCAAAGGAGCTGGGAAGGATAGTGTCCCAAAGGTAATGGGGTCAAGAGGAGAAATCAGAATAGAGATTGATCTTGAATGAGAGGTGGGATGACTCTTGAGATTGGAGGATGGGATGAATGTAAATTTTGTGCTCCAAAGGTGATGGACTATATGTCCTAATTTTCTTAGATTAGGAAATCAAATCATTTGCTGAGAGTGGCAGAAACAGAGGTTAGATAGAAATGATGATTAAGAATCAGAAATGTCAGGTTGGGGATTTAGCTCAGTGGTTCCACCGCCTGCCTTGCAAGCGCAAGGACCCAAGTTCGATCCCCGGTACCAAAAAAAACCCAAACAAACAAAAGAATCAGAAACATCAAGGAGAGATATTTAGAGGGTCTCAAATTTTGGTAAGATAATAGATGAGGAAGGAATGTTGTAATAAATAATCCTATAGTTCTAAGTGGAGCAGTAATGTCAAATTTGAACAAAATTAAAGTAGGCTTAGTCTCGTAATGGTACCTGGAATGGCTATTTGCAAGAAAAATCATCATGAATTAAATGTTTGAAGGAAGGCTAAGATGGGCCACTAGTGTTTTGCTGTAAAAGACATCCAAGGATAATTGAACTATTTATTGTTTTCAGTGGTTTAAGTGAGCAGACAATGGCCAGTAATCACAAATCTTCATCCCGCCCTGTTTCACGAGGTGGAATTGGGTTGACAGGAAGGCCTCCTTCTGGAATACGACCTCCATCAGGAAATATTCGAGTGGCAACTGGAGTAAGTTTAAAACAAATTTATTGAACTCTTCTGTATATGTTCTAGTAGAAGCTAGAAATCTATATAATAAAAATTCTATTTTTTAAAAATTCCTTTATTTTGTAAGGACATGATATAAACCTTTTTTTGGGAGAATCATCTAAAACTATAAATGTGGGGGAATCTCAGTACACTAAGGATGATACCTACTATTGCTGATTCACAAATTTGTTTTAAAGCTATAATAATTTAAGTAGTATGGTATGGCCACAATCAAATTAAATGGAATAGGCTAGAAATAGAATCAAGCATATGTAAGAATTTAGTTAATTATTAAGGTGACATTAAATTAAGTGATAAAGGCAGAGTATTTCTGAGAACATTTGGAAAACTAATAAATCATTTATTTGAAAACATTTTTGATCCCCTTCACATCTTTTTCATTACAGTATCAAATGTATACTAATAAAAATTTAAAACAGAAACTTGATGTTTTAAAAATGAAACCATAACTGTATTAGGGGAAAATATAGTCAAGATTGTATATAAACTTGATGTGAACTAGAGCTTTATAATAATGACAGAAACTCCAAACAATGGAAAGGAAAGCTTTTTAGATTTATATATTTGAATTTCTAAAAACTTTAAAATACCACTAAAAAACTAAAAAAGAAGCAATAAACTGGTAGAAAAGCATACCTAGGATTCAGAATCTTAAAAAGCAACCTTTGCTTATTTATAAATGGTATCTCTCTCTAGCTTTTTTTTAATTTTTATTTTTTTAGACTGCATCTAGCTATGTAGTTCAGTCTGGTCTTGAACCCACTGTGTGGCTGAGGCTGGCCTCAAACTCAAAATCCTCCTGCCTCAGCCTCCTGAATGCTGGGATTACAGATGTGTGTCATTATGTCTGGCTGAGCTCTTTCTACATTAAGGCTATAAACTTTATGTCCAACCAAACTTCTTGAGATTTTTCTCTGGACTGGGCTGAACATCATTATAAAACTATTCCAAAATTCATCAAGAATGATTTTTAAAGGCAAAAAAAGAAAAGTGTAATAGCCTAATATAAAAGTATACTATGAGTATTAGTGAAACTATTCAGATTGCTACAACCTGGAAACAAACTCTAGAAAATGTTAAAAACTTCTTAATGTAATATAGTATTGTAAGTCAGTAAATCAATAAGAAACACCACTTTTTTTTTGGTATCGGGAATTGAACTCGGGACCTTGCACTTGCGAAGCAGGTGGCAGAACCACTGAGCTAAATCCCTGGCCCAAGAAACACCACATTTTAAAAAGTCGGATAAAGTTTACAAACTGCTAATTTTAATATTACAGTTTAAAACCTGTAAAGAGAATTACTACATTTCATTATCTAATAGTGAAAATTTGGAAACAACCTAAATGACCTTATAATGTGAATCTTAAATTATGATATGTTTGTCATTATAGTAGTCTACTAGGTAGTCATTAATTTCCAGCTGGATGTGGTGGTGCATGCCTGTAATCCTAGCACTAGGAAGGCTGAGGCAGGGGGATTGTTTTGGGCTACATCATGAGTTCAAGGCCAGCCAGGACTATATAGTAAGAAATCTATCTCAAAAATTTTTTAGAAATACATTTGATGAAAGAATATACTTTCATAATACAGTATTAAGAAAAAAGCAGGACAATTCCAGTTTAGCATGCAAGCATACATTTATGTATGTGCATAGAAAAATTAAATGGAAAGACATGAATATATGAAATTGTCCATAGTGTTTTCACACAGATGCTTTTGACTAACTTGGCAGGTATATAGGGATAATACTAAAACTCCAGTAAAACAGATATTACTGAGTCCTATGTTTCATTTTAAGAGGACAGCATTTTTCAGAGGGGGTACAGAAAAATTTTGAGGTAACTGGGTTTTCCTAAAGCTTTCAGGTTTTCTTGAGTTTCAGGTAATTACCACATTATCATCCTCTAGACAGAAATGGTTTTTCTGAAGTCTTTTTATACAGTATATGGTACTAAGCTAGGGTATCTTTTTTTATTTTAGTGAGAATTGATGCTTGTTAATGTAATATTTATAAAAGAATCTGACATTCTCTTCCTCCTGTTTGTCAGGTACTTTATTTTTTTAATGGTATTAGTTTTGAAAATAGTATCATTATAAAACATGCAAATGATGGAGAATTGTCAGTTCCATCCTATTCTGGGGATAATCACTATCATCAGTGTGGTGTATATTTTCTAGACTTTTTTTGGGGGGGTACTGGAGATCAAACTTGGGACCTTGCGTTTGCAAGGTAGGCAGTGGAACCACTGAGCTAAATCCCCTGCCCCAACATGGCCATCTTGTGATGGAATTATGTCCAGTTTATTTTTCATATGATACATACTCATAGTGGGGCGTGGTGGCACATGGCTGTAATCCCAGCACTCTGGGCTGAAGCAGGAGAATCACAAGTTTGAGCTCAGCCTGGGCAACTTAGTGAGACCATATCTCAAAATCTAATAAAAAATAAAAAAATTGATTTTGAAGGATAATCTATGTTCATTATAATGATGAAATCACCAAATTATGTAAAGGAGAAAATAAAAATCAACTACAATATGTAGAAATAACTATTGATACTTTATTTTTTGGTACCAGGGGTCAAACTTGAGAATTTGCGCTAGCGAGGCAAGTGGCAGAACCACTGAGCTAAATCCCTGGCCCCATTGTTACTATTTTTAATGATTTTCTAGCCTTTTTAACAAAAATAAAATTATGAATACTATGGTGTTCGGTAAACTACTTTATTATATACTACAACTTATTTAACCATTTCCTTTTGTGGACATTCAGTTCCTTTCCAGTACTGAAATATTATAAATAGTCTACACATAGAATTTAAAGTTTTAATAAAATACAGTATAGCCACAGAATTTCAAATGTTGAAGAAACTTATTTAATAACATTGAATAGTATATTTTACATATTGAAAAAACATAAGGACTATTTTATCAATTGTATAGAATTTTAATTTTTTTCAAAAATTCTCTTTGTAATCTTATAAGAGTAGAAGGTACAATTGTTTTCTTTCTGTTTGAGAAAAGTGAAATCTTGTCATCATTTAGACGCCACCTGGAACAGCAAGACCAGGCTCTCGTGGCCCCTTGGGGACTGGCGGGGTTCTGTCATCTCAGATCAGAGTTGCTGACCGTCCTGTCACACAGCAAGGGTTGAGCGGAATGAAGACTGGGATGAAAGGTAGCTGTAAATGAGTGTATTTTGTATGAAAAGCATTACAGTACCTTACTACTAAGTCAGAATTACAGCATGTAGTTCTTTTTCATTGCCTTACAAAATTGTTACAACAGGATGAATGTGAAAGTGCATCGTAAACTAGAAAGTCATATATATATGAGCTGTTTTGATTTTCATTTTTCTGAATGCAGAACTTTTTTATAATTGTAGAAATTTGAAATAATTTGGAGAAAAATTCAAGATTGAAAATTAAACTTCTTATACCATGTAGAAATATTCTGAAATATTTTTTGATAGTTTCCTTATCAAAATGACACTCTTAAAATACCTGCATTAAGGAAGAGTCAAAAATGTTACTTTTTTCTGAAATTAATACTCAGTGATACAGCTAAAGTATAGAAAGGAGGCTAACGTGTAGCTCTATAATGAGTCTTTCATTGGGCCACTGTTTAGAAAGGCATAATGATGCACTATATGTTATGATTCATAAATTTTATCTGTGATATATATAAGCCAAAACTTGATAGACTTTTTAATAAAGAATTTTTTTGTTTTCTTTATGTGCAACAAATGCTTTATCAGGGCTGAAGATATTCTGTTGGTAAAAAATTTATTTTAAGATGTCATACTACCGTTGGCCCTTTGTTTCTATAGTTCTACATCTGCAAATTCAATAACTGCAGCTCAAACATAGAAAAAATAAAACAAATAAAACCAAGCATCTATACTGAACATATACAGACTTTCTTGTCATTATTCTTTAAGTAATACAGTAAAACAGCTATTTACATAGCATTTACATTGTATTAGGTGTGATAAACTAGAAATTATTTAAAATATATGTGATAATGTGCATGTGTTATATACAAACACTATACCATTTTATATAAAGAACTTGAATATCCCTGTATTTTGACATCCATATGGGAGTCTTTCAAGGTGTCTCCTACAAACAGTGAGAGGTGACTATATTTTTTATAATGTCATGCTTTTCAGGAGATTTTCCCCTTTCCCCTCCCCTCCCCTCCCCTCCCCTCCTCTCCCCTCCTCTCCTTTTTGTGGCAGTGGGGATTGAATCCAGGGCCTTCTCACTGAGCTAGATTCCCAACCCTTTTTTATTTATTTTGAGACAGGGTCTCACTGAGTCACTAATCATGAAATCTGGGATTGAACCTGAGATCCTCCTGCCTCAGCCTCCTTGAGTGCTAAGATTACAGGTGTGTGCCACCACACCTAGCTTAAATTTTCTTACAACACCATTTAGCTCACTAAATATTAAAAATGAATTGATTCTTTTAGACATGTTTATTTAATAGTGATCAGTAGTGTTAAAAATGAGTCAAAATTCTGTAATCATTTATCTAGTCTTATATTGACAGATGTGCTTATGTTTAATATTACTTATTCAAAAATATTACAAGTAGAATCATAGTAAAATTCTATAGAGGATTTATTACATGTTTATTACTATATAGTTATCCTTTAAAATGGAACCAGTATCATTTAAGATTATTAGTTTCTACCAACATAGTTCAAAGGCTCACAGTTCTATTAACTATGCAACCCTATCTGTTGTGACTTTTGTTTTCACTTGCTTTTGTCCCATTTCCTGTTGTAGTAAGATGTTCCCTCTCTCTTCTTAGCGTGGACCTCATGAATGGGATGTACTCCCTGGCCTCACCTCTCACACTTTGCAGGGCACTTCATTTCCTGCAAGGTTTGGGACATTTAACCTAGAAAGCCTCTCTTAGTCCTACTGAAATATAAGATTATTTAAAAAAAAAATTCTGAAGACTGGGGATGTAGCTCTATGGTAGAGCCAAGCACTTGCCTAGCATGTATGAGGCCCTGGGTTCTATCCAACACCAAAAAAAAAAAAAAAAATCTCTGGGACAAATTTGAAAACTCATAGTCTCTTGCTCACATTGAGAAATAGTTACACTCTCCAATAAGATAGCCAATAGTTGCTTATAGCTACTCAAATTTAAATTAATTAAAATTAAGTAAAATAAAAATCATTTCTCTAGTACCACCTGCTGAATTTCAAGTGCTCAATAGCTAAAATATGAATATTTTAGCAGATAATGCTATTATGTTTTGTTGCATTAAGTTGTTTTGGACAGCTTTGTTCTGGGCTTCCATAGACCCAAGTTTTCATTTAGTCAGTCTATCAGTTGTCTTAACAGCCTCACTTCAAGACCCATCTTTGTGATCTTTTTGTTTGTTTTGTTTTGGCGGTAGTTGGGATTGAATCCAGGGCCTTCGTACTGAGCTATATACATTGGCCCTTTTTTCTTCTTTTTCTTTTCCTTTTTTTTTTTTGAGTCAGGGTTTCACTAAGTCACTAAGTTGCCCAGGCTGGGCTTGAACTTGTGATCTTCCTTCCTCAGCCTCCCAGGGTGCTGTGATTACAGGTATGTGCTACCATACCCAGATCCATCTTCGTGATCTTAATTCAAGCTTCCCTTATGTCATGATTCTAAGCTGTTAGTTGTCTTTTCCATTTCAGTGATTCTTCTTGATGTATTGGTACATTAATATTGAGTGACAGAATTGTCGCATGTATTTCTGGTTGTACTTTGGATTTGGACTATTTTGGTGGCATTTTGAAATAGCACACTAACATTAAAAAAACCTTTTTTTAGGTCCCCAGAGGCAAATTTTAGACAAATCTTATTATCTTGGACTTCTTCGGTATGTTAAATAAACATGTCTTTCTATGCATGATCATGAAATTTTAACTATGGTACTTTTTACAGTAAGAACCTGTTTTTTTTTTTTCCTAAGAATTATTTTGTATTCTAATACTCTCTTGTTAATTTGGCTATACTACAAAGGTAGATATGATAATAGAATTAGGCTGGGGATTTAAATTTTATGTATTTGCATGTAGGTGAGCTGTATATTTTGTCTTAGTCTGTGCTGCTATAACAAAATATGAGAGATTGGTTAATTTATATTGTACAGAAATTTATTTCTTATGGTCATGGAGGTGGGAAATCCAGAATCAAAGTGCTGGCAGGTTTGATGTCAGGTGAGGGCCTGTTCCTCATTAGTGGCATCATGTAGGTGTTGTCACATGATGGAAGAGCAAAAAATGGCCGACTTAGTGATCTCTAGCCCTTCCATAAAGCACTAATCCCGTCTGTGACAGCAGCACTTTCATGGCCTAATCACCACCTAAAGAGTCCACTTCTTAATTCTGTTGAATGGGATTTAGTTTTATTATGAATTTTAGATGGGACACAAACATTCAAACTGTAACATATTTAAAGTTCACTGTTTTCATCTCATAGTAAAAATAGCTTTCTATGTTTTTTTCTGTATTCTTTTCTTTTTTTGGTACCAGTGATTGAAGTTTCTATATTATTTTGAAATATATTCATATTATTGAAATACCACCAATTATACCTAATAAGAAATATGTATATACTTATTTATGATATCTTAATCAGTCAAGAGTTTTGCTTAAGTATATATTTGGTCAGTTACATAAATGTGGCCTAATTTTAATCAATATGCTGTTATATGTCTGTAATTGTATAGTTTTTAAATCAGGAACTTTTTTTGTTGTTTTCTACCTACCTTTACTCTGCTCAGGTATCCAACTGTCCTACCTTCACTTTCTCATTTTACTTTATTTTCTTCTTGACTTGTCATCCCCATCATCTTTCTCTGTTCCATTTCATTTAATCCATCCTTCCATCATGCACAAAAAGCCTTATATTCCTTTTTAGTCCTTCTTGGTTTTGTTTCTCAACCATCTGGAAAAGAATAGGTTTCCTCTGTCTATCTTCAAAGCTAAGAAAATAAAAAAGATACTAAGGCCATCAGATGTATAATATCTGATATTCAGTCACTTTTTAATCAAAAGAAGGAAAGGAAATAGAACTATTGCTAATCACTACATTGCATCTCTTCTCCAGGATTTATGCTTCTGTATCAAAGGATAGTTCTGTTTGTGTAGTTGTTTAGCCTAGCAGAGTGCTTAATGCTCCCTGGGGAATATTTGGCAATTTCTGTACACATTTTTGGTTGTCAGAACTGGAGTTGTGCGGAGATGCTACTGGCATCCTTATCAAGGATGCTGGTAAACATTCTGTATGCACAAGATAGCCTCCCACCACAAAATATTAGTCACTGACCTGAAATGTCAGTGGTGCTACTATTAAGAAATTGTAGCAGGAGCTATGAAGGTTAGAGTTAGGCATCTACATCTGTCTATGGATTATAACAGTTTAACCAGGCATCCGTTCTGATCCTATCTCATCTTTCTTAGAGAATCTATTGTCAGTTTTTTATAAGTTGAGTAGAATAGGATGGGCTATTCCATACCCTTGGTCAAATAAACCAGTGATATGTTTCCTTTTTTAGATGAAGCTTGCAAAAACCATTTCTATTATTGTTACACATTTATGAAAAGTTTATTTAAAAAAGAGTTTTCTGGGTTAGAAGTATTGCTAACTTTCTTTTTTCTTTTCAATTAGAAGTAAAATAAGTGAACTTACAACTGAAATTAATAAACTTCAAAAAGAAATAGAAATGTACAATCAAGAGAATTCAGTGTATTTGTCATATGAAAAGAGGTAAGTTTACAGTTAAAATATGCAAGGTTTTTATGTATTCATACTACTAAATATTAATTCAGTATACATTGAGTATATGGCGAGAATACTGAATTTGTAGTTACCTGTGTTTATAATGTTCATCTACTTATTTATGTATTTACAAATGTATTTATTTTATGTTTGCAGAGCAGAGACTTTAGCTGTTGGAATCAAAGAGTTTCAAGGACAACTAGCAGACTACAACATGGTAATGTCTCTTTTCTGAGAATTTCCTTTGAATAATTTCATTTTTTTTTACCACCTAAAGATACATTGTTTTAAATGTGAAGTAATACATGAATATATACTTCCTATGAAAGACTGAGACTATATAAAGTGCAGAGAATAAAGTGCCCCTTTCTTTTCTCCCATACATCTCTCCCCAGAAATAACTTGGCTGAATAGATCATTATGTATTCTTTCAGTGCAGGGCTGGGGATTTAGCTCAGTGGCTCTGCTACCTACCTTGCAATTGCAAGGTCCCCAGTTCAATACCCAGTACCAAAAAAAATGTATTTACTTATGTCTTAAGTTACTTTCCTTGTCAGTGGGACACAATACTTGACACCAACAAATTAAAGGAGGGGAAGTTTATTTTGGTTCATAGTTTGTAGAAGTTTCATCTTACAGTTGACTGGCTCTAAGGCCAGGCAGCATGACAGAGAGGCTTGGAAGTGGAGAGCTGCTCACGGCATGGCACAAGGCAGCAAGGGGAGATCAAGGAGGATCTGGGAAGGAGATACGGCCTCCCTGGCCACACCCACAGGGACCCACCTCCAACAGCAAACTGGATATTAGCCCCCACAGCCAATCACATTCCAAATCCTGGCTTGTGAGTGCATGAGGCTCTTAGGGGACATCTAGGTATAAACCATGACAACTTAATAAATACAGAAACACACACATGCCTTCTACCCTAATGATATTAAAATAATAATTTAAAAAATAGGTAGAATTTGAGCTGGGGATTTACCTCAGTGGTGCTGCCACCTGCCTCGAAAGTACAAGGTCCTGAGTTCGATCCCCAGTACCAAAAAAAAAAAAAAAAGAGAATTTATTGAGTGTGAATAATGATGTTGCTTTATTTTATTTTTGTGGCAGGGTCTCACTATGTAGTTCAGGCTGGGCTTGAACTCACTGTGTAGCCTAGGTTGCCTTGAACTTGCAGAAATCCTCTTGCCTCAGCCTCCCAAGTGCTAGGATTACAGGTGTGCACCACCACATCTGGTAGTAGTGTTGCTTTTAAAAGATTCTTTTACCTTTGTGTGGAGCATTGCCATCATTAAATTAAAAATAACTTACTTAGCACATAGATTACCTCCATCTCTATGTTGTAGTTCATGTGTGCATTCTGTAGAAATAGAGTATATAACAAACAGTTCCACCAAGGATGCTTGCCAATGTGAACTTTAAGAAGAAACAATAATTTTGGTAGCACTGATAACTGCCTTAATCACTGAGGTAATGGTACTGCTGTGAACATTTTTAGTGTCAGAGTTGACTCTTCCCAACTTCTTGATTGCATTAAGCAGCAGTGGTATCTGAATTTAGTGAAAGTGCCAAACTTTTATCTCACTATCTACTTGATACTGTTACATTATGCTTACAAATAAATTTCTTTTGATTATAGTATATTGTAATTGTTAAAGTTGCTGAATCATACCATCTAGTATAACATTTTTTGGAACCTTGTATTTGGTGGGACTTCTTTTAGTAAATGATATTCTGTTCTAAATATGAGAAAAATAGTTTTACAAGGTATGCAATGACATTAGATAAAAAGGATTTTTAGTTATAGTGAAGTGTATTAGGTAAAGTACTTCAGATAAACATAATAATAACATGTAGAATATGCTGTTTGTAGGTTTAATACGTGATAAGTAGAAAGCACCAAGGTATCTGATGTATAGTTAGCATTAAATAAAGATTAGGACTTATTATATTATATTGCAAATATATTATATTTGCAAATATAAATGCAATATATTGCAAATGAAAAACTGTGATGTATACTAATATATTATTACATTAATAAAGCTTAATTTTTTAGTATCAATTACATCTAAGTAATTTGCTTTTAACTTCTAAATAGTGACCTCTGGTTCAAATTATGGCTCCCCTAGTTCCTAAATTTATTTTTTTGTCAAATGTAGACATAATATTTAGTGAGTGAGTTAATGCATGTAACAGACTCTGAACAGAATCTGTTAGCTGTTGCTGTCATTTCCTTTCTTTTTTTTTTTTAAAAAGACAACATTCTACATTTAATGAACTTGCAGGGAAAACAAGCCCTAATAATCACTTATTGTTTCATAGAAGATGAGCACAATAGGACAAAATAAAAACAGGAATTGTGCAACTGATCATTGGAATACAAGTTCTGTGCTGCTCATGGATTATTACACAGTGTTAGAAATATTCAAGGATATTGCAGACAAAATTGTATGTACTATGGATCTTTTGGGATCCATGACAGTAGAAGGGGAGCATAAAAAATTGTTGGATGTTTCAAAGGTGATCATGTCATTAAAATCCATTTATAAATTTAAGTCACAAAATTGCCTTTGAATGATGTGAAGGGTCTGAAGTATATCAGCTGGGGAAAATTGCCAGGTTTTATGTCATCTTTTGATAGAGTAGGAGTCTGTGGTATTTGGGTATCAGTCTACACTACTTAAAAATTACAAATATGTTTTTACTGCTCAAGTGTAGGGAGCAGTTTTCTATCATTTGGCCACTTAGTATTTTAATAAGTGGTCAAAAGTCTACAAAATGTGCCAAAGAATATTTCACCTATGAACCTCAATATCCATAGATTATTCCTGATTTGGAAAAAGTCAAAGGGATTAAACCTTATTAAAACTACATTTATCTCCATGCAATTTTATCATTTAAATAACATGGAAAAAATTAGTTCCAAAGACTGAATCTAGGCCCTCAAATTATTTATCTGCTGCAGCCCTAGCATATTTTTAAGGGCACATTGAAACCCATGAAAATAGAGGTTTATAATAGAAATACTGATAGACCTTTAACTACTAGATGGAGGCTTTAACAGACTCCATTAAACTACATTAGCACTTAATGAATAAATATACAGATGATTTTGTCTTTGAAATCTTTGTCAAATCCATTCCAGCTTAAACCCAATAAGTATAAACTATACTTTGCTTGGCTGATTTAAAATTTTAATCTATTATTTTAAAAATTATTTTCTCTACGTCTAACACTTGAATTTTAGAAAAAAGGTATGTGTATTATGTTGCAGCTTGATTTAATGCAGGCTAATTATTGCATTAAAAATATTTAAGGGCATAATTCAATGTAATTAGTGAGGCATGCATTGTGCCTAAATTTCCTTCAACTCCTCAAAATCTAAATCAGTGTCTTTGGTCTTAAAAGAGGGGAGGGAAGAAAGTGAGACCTCAGATATAATCAAGGAAACATTGTGCATCTGGTATTTAAGTTCTTCAAAGCTAAATTTACTATGGCAGGATATTCTTTTATGATACAATGATAAATAAAAAATTTGGGTACTCATTTTTCACTCATACTCTATAAGGTCAGTATATAAAAAAGTAAATAAGATAAGAGTAAAAAAAAAAGAAACAGACCCCAAGAGATCTTGAAAAATGACATACATATTAATGTGGAGTTCCAGTGACACAATACTCCACTCCCAAACCAGGGAAACTTCATCAAGGTACTGAGTCTTTTTGAGTTCTTCATAAGGAATTTGGTTTCTGTGAGCAATGAATTCCATCCATTTTTGCACAAAGTATAAAAGAGATGCTCAGAACAACAGAAGGAAGAGTGAGATAATTAGTGGTAAACAGAGAATAAATTCTCTCTCAGTAATGTACTTGACATTAATGCTGATGATAATTCACCTGACTTACAGAATATTCACTTTAAGAGAGAAGAGAGCCTGAAATAACTAGCAGAAAATAGTGGAGTCATGATAGTCCTGATAACAATATAAAATTAAAACGAGAAACTAACATGATAGGTCCAAGGCCTTTTAGGAACTTGATATTTTTCTGCTAGATTCACATTCTCATAGCTTCATGGTCTTTTTCTTCTAACAAACTTATCAGCTGAGAGAAGCTGTTTTTCAGCACATCCATGCTATCCAGTGAGCAGGGCTGCAGAATCTAGCATTTTCCTCGTGCAAGTGGTTCAAGTTCAAAATATCTTTTGATCTCTTGCACTGAGCGTGCTGCTGGGTTGTCTTGATGATTGGCCAATATTAAAAAGGATAAAGTGCATAACTGTGGGTGCTGAGGAGCTGAGTACAGTTCATTTCTAGCAGTTTCTAAATCATCCTTTGAAGAAGCACTAATATGAATATTACCCCTTAAGATCCTTGGTAGTAGCAACTCCAATATTTCTCGGATATTATCAGCTCCTCCAAGTTCTTTTACATTCAAGATGGCATTCTGGATGGGACTGCCTTATACTAAAACCTGTGGTTGACATGACATTCTCAGGGTTTTCACTGCACAGCTTTGCCAGCAGACTGGTCTTGCCAGAACCTGTGAGGCCTGTGCTTACCAGGTCATACTCTGGTCTTGAAGGGGGTGATCCCTTGCAGGAAAGTGCTCTAAAACACAGATAATCCATCTATAGAAACACCTCAGTTAGCCGGAGATCAGACATCCGGCAACCTAAAGCACCCGGGACAGCTCTGAACCCGGAAAAAAAGCCTGTCATTTTTTTGAAATAGGCTTCCTAGTGTGTTGTTCGTGCCTTATTTGAAAAAGTAAAAGTGAAGAGTGAGGAAGAAACTGGCTCGGCAGAGTGAGCTTGGTCTGAGTAAAAGAGGAAAAAGCAAGATAAAATACTCTGGAGAAAGCAGGGTGGGCTACCCTAAGGAAAGCCATGATAGCCTGATTTTTTTTTTTTTGTAGAAAAAGTTTCATGGTTTTGCTAGTGTAGATTTGTAAATCTGTTAACATACTTTTCTTCTGGGAAAAAAGATGAAAGAGTGACAGATTTGACTTTTTATTTTTTTGTTACCAGGGAACAAACTCCGGTCCTTGCGCAAAACCACTGAGCTAAATCCCCGGCCCCAGATTTGACTTTTCTAGACCTTTATAAGTTTAGCCATTTTTTCAGAGGAGGTAAAGTTCTTCAAGATAAGATCTGTAGTGTTTTATTAATGCTCACTTTTTTTCCCCTTGGTTTCATTTTTGTGTGGTATTGGGGATTGAACTTAGAGCTTTAGCCCTGAGCTACGTTCTTAGCCCTTTCCACATTTTTTAATTTTTTAGATAGAGTTTCACTAAGTTGCTAAGTTGCCCAGGCTGGTCGTGAACTTCCAGTCCTTCTGTCTCAGCTCCCAGAGTTCTGGGATTACAGGCGTGTGCTAACATGCTCAGAGCTTATTGCCCCACACTAAAATGTGCATTGGTTATTGGACAGAAACATTGGACTGAATATGCTTACTTAGGGTGGCTCAATATTTGTTTTTCTCTTAAAAGATAAGACACTTAGAAATATTAATACTTAAATTACTTCTCATTCATGAGATTGAATACTTGTATTGAGTTATATAAAACCTTAACACTAATAGGATTTTTTGTGTATTTTTTTTTGTAGTTGGTAGATAAACTTAATACCAATACTGAAATGGAAGAAGTAATGCATGATTACAACATGGTAAGAAAATTTATAAATGTAAGCAATAGATCTTTATAAAATCATATCCTCCAAAATAAAGCATTTATATCTAGAAATAGTTTATAAAACCTAATGGACCTTAGAGATGGGTAAGTACTCTGATCCTGGTATAGTTGAATTCTTAGTTGATCTTTTAAAATTTTTTCTCTCTTGATTGTCTCTCCTATGTGGACACTACAGTATCTACAAAGCCCTCTAAACTGGTTTTACTTGCATTGAACATTAGAAAATTCCATCTACATATTTGCTCCTATATCTACTACACTAGTTAGCAATATTTCCGGTTAATTTTTGTACAAATGAAGCTAGTACTCAATGGAGATAAATGCTACTGGTTCACTGTTTTTATAACAAAGAGAAAAAAATGAATAGATACAATGCCAGACATGATCTTAACCTTTGAATGGTAAATGAGAATTTGTGTTCCATGTTCTCAGATTATTTGGTAGAAAACAATAAACTGCTAATATATAGCTTATTTGGATTAAAACATTTGGAGAAAAAAATATTATGTCTTAACTTACATAGCTTATAGTTTATTTACATAATTAGAGACTATCTGTGAAAATGTAGAATTTATAAAATGACTTTTCTAAATCTGGAGTTCTCAAACCTTGATAATTTAATTATTATTGTTAGAACATAGGAGAATTCACAAATTAAACAATGTCTTTTAAGGCCAGAATAAAAATTAAAAAGATTTTTATGTGTTTTGTTAGCTATTTAGAGTCAACTAGGAATACTCAGGTAAATCCTGAATGCTTTATGATTAAAACTTATGTTGGGTGTAAATTCAACATACTGCCAGTAATTATTTATTGAACACTCAAGAAATTCTTGAAACGTTACTTATTTAAGTTTACATTTGATTGTCTGATAGATCACTAAAGAACAATGAATATTTTTGGTATGAGATTATGATGCTTGTTAAAAAGACTTTTAAATCTAGTGGTTTTTGATAAATGAAATAATTACTGTACATTTTTATAGAACTTCGCATGTAGAATTAGATGAGATCAGGTGTGTTCAGGGTGGTATGGCTGTAGACTACATGTAGAATTAGGATTATTGTACTCATTTAATTCATAACCAGAATAACCTTTAAAGAAAGAGTTTGACTTAATGGTTACTTTTTAATCACTAACTTTGATGTTAACTCTTTATTTAGCTTAAAGCTCAAAATGATCGAGAAACACAAAGTATGGATGTCATATTTACTGAAAGACAAGCGTAAGTTAAACCCATTTAAAAATCAAACAGATTTATAAGTGAATTTTATTATAGATATTTACAATAGATATTTACTGTTTGTACCTGTTATTTTACTATACCACTAAATAGCTACATTTTATATACATAAAATTACTTTGTAGATTATATGAATAGGGTTTCTGCTTCTGCACACTTAAGGTGGGTAAAAATGTCTTTATAATTACTATTTGCAAATTTTTTTTCTGGTGCTGGAGATCGAACTCAGGATCTTGCGCTTGCGAGGCAGGTGGTGGCACTTACTATTTACAATTTTAACCTAGGCCTTTAACTAATTTGAATTATGATACTACAGCACTGATCTAATGAAAGACACTATATTAGTCACTTTACTATCACTGAAACAAAATATCTGACATCTGCATCTGAAAGGAGAGATTTATTTTTTATTTTTATGAATAAATTTTTATTAGTACATGTTTGAAGTACATGATGATTACATTCATGATGTGGAGTTGGTACTTGTACGTAAGGCAACTTAATTCCTTCCCATTTTCAAAAGATCTGTCTCTGTTTCTTATTATCTCTTTTATTTTGCTCCTTAATTTACTTATAGTTTGGGATTCTCATTAAATAGAAACCATGTGTGTTTCTGATTCATTTTACTTAACATTATGGTCTCAAGGTATATCCTTTTTTTAACCAATGACTCAAGCGTATACTTCTTTATGGCAGAATAGTGCTCCATTGTGTATAAATGCCACAATTTCTTTTATCTATTCATCTGTGGATGGACATAGAGGCCACTTATTTAGCTATTAAGGGTTGTTTTGCTATAAACACAAGTGTGCATATATTATTGAAATATCATGTCTTTAACTCCATTGGGATGATACCTAGTGTGGGAATAGCTTAGTGAAATGGAATTTCTATTTTTAGTTTTTTGAAGCATCTCCATACTGATTTCCATAGTGGTGGTACTAATTTACATTCCCACCAACAATATAAAAAGACACCTTTTCCACCGCAGCCTTGCTAGCATTTGTTATTATTTAATTTATTGATTATAGGCATTATTTCTGGAGTAAGATGGAATCTCAGTGTTGTTTTAATTTGTATTTCTACTACTACTGAGCTGCAACCCAGCCTTTTAACTTGCATTTCTTAATGGCCAGAGATGTTGGACATTTTTTCATGTATTTGTCAGCCGATGGTGGTTCTTCTGAGACGTGTCTATTCATTACAGTTGCTCATTTAAAAAAAATATAAACAGACAGTATCCACATAGTTTATTTCTCACAGTTCTCTTGACAAAGGAACATTATTCAAGAACATAGTGTATACAAAGATAAGAAGAAACATACAAAATGTTTTAAATGATGCACAACACAACCCAGCATTATAGAAGAATGCATGTGAACTCTTGTTCACTGCACAGACTAAATTTAATCACTTGTTTACATAGGAATGAAAGAACCATCTTTCATGGATTTTGTTCAGATTACAAAAGAGAGAAATATGATTTTTATATTAGAGTTGCTCATATTTTAGTTGGTTTGTTTATTTTGGGGGTTCCAATTTTTTGAGTTCTTTATATAGTTTAGGTGTTAGTCCTCTGTCTAAAGAGCAGCCGGCAAAAATTTTTTTCCATTCTGTAGGTTGCCTCTTCACTTTGCTTTTTTTTTTCTTCTGTGGATAATGTTTTAATTTTTTTATTTTGGACACTGGGTCTTGCTGTGTAGTTCAGGCTGGCCTTGAACTCGCTGTGTGGCCCAGGCTGGCCTCGAACTAATAGCAATCCTCCTGCCTCAGCCACCACATCATGTGCTGGGATTGCAGGGTCACCATACCCTGCACAAAACTTTCTAATTTAATATAATCTCAAGTGTTGATTCTTACGTTAGCTCTTGTGCAAATTGGGTTCTGTTAAGAAACTCTTTGCCTACACCTATGTCTATTAAGAGTTTTATCTATTTTATTGCCTATCAGAATGTTTCCGTTTTAATGTTTAGATCTTTGGCCTATTTGATTTTAGTTTAGTACACGGTAAGAAATATGTAATTTGAAATCTAGGATTGTGATGCCACCTGCTTTGCTCTTGTTGTTCAGCATTGCTTTTGTTATTCTGGGTTTCTTCTGGTTTCATATGAATTTTAGAATTCTTTTTTCTAGTTCTGTCAGGAATGCTGTTGGTATTTTGATTAGGATTGCATTAAATCTGTAGAACAGTTTTGGAAGTATGACCATTTTGACAGTATTGGTTCTGCTTGTGCAGGAACAGGGGATTTATTTTTTTCATTTTCTGATATCCTCTTCAATTTCCTTTCTCAGAGTACTATACTGTAGTTTTTGTTGTAGAAGTCTTTTCCTTTCTTGGTTAGTTTAACTCCTAAATATTTAATTTTTCTTGAAGTTATTGTGAACAGTATTAAGTACACTTAATTTCCCCATATATGGAAGGTAAAAATTAAATATTTTGCTTTAGTTTTTTAATGTTCCTGTTTCCATCAGTAAGTTCTTAAAATTATGTTTGCAGCTAATTGATTACAAAAGAATTAGCAAATAATTCACTTTATATGGTGGATTGGTCAGGTTTCCTGTTGCTAGGACAAGATATTCAACACCCACAACTTCAAGGAAGAGAAGTTTAATTTGGCTCACAGTTTTAGAGGTTTTAGTCCGTGGTTGTCTGGCTCCAAGGTAGAAACATGGCAGGAGGATGTGGTAGAGCAAAGCTGCTCAGTTCATGGCAGCCAGGAAGCTGAGCATGCAGGAAAAGCGCCTTGGAGAGATATACCCTCCAAAGGCACACATGCAGTGGCCACCTCCTCCAACTGGACACTCAGTGACCCATCTCCTAACAGCACATTAGACTATTAGACATCAGTAGATTAATCCACTGATTGGTATAGTCCCTTAATCCTGTCAAGTTATAATTTCAATGAGTTGCCACAGGTAGATCCTTTCTATTACAGTCTGGGGCTGGTGTTTTCCAGAGTATATTATTTGGATTATTGCACTGTGAGCTTTTAGTAGGTGTACTTCTAAGAAAGGGTTTTGTTATGAAGAAAGTTTGGAAAATTTTTAATTCTTTGCTCTTGAGTAATCAGAGAAGAGTTTAGTTTAGTAAAGTCTCAGATTAGTCCTAAAGTGAAGAATCTTGTTTTACTTTGTTTAAACCCAGTGTTTCCTGTAGTAATTTGATCACATACCTTTTTATTTTCATATAAATACTTCCAAATATCTCACTGTAAATTAGTGCTCTAGAAAGCAATTTTGGAAACATTCTTATATGTATTGGATCCCAAACAGCTGTCCATGGACCACTTAAAGATTCTTCAGCCTCAATACAGGCCTATCTGAATAGTAGTTTCCCAGGGAGGCAGAAAAATGCATTAAAAAAACCCCCCAAATTCATAAATGTGATGCCCACTTTGGAAACCACCATGATAATAAATTGTGGCAATTGTGCATTATGGTGACAGCTTTTCTTTATGACTGTGATCAGTAGTAATGATTAGTCCTTATGTCTGAACACTGTGACTGTGTTTTAAATTGCTACTAAATTTTGAGGAAATTTTGTTTTGCTATTTAGGAACTTTTAAAAATATTTTCCTAATCCATGAAATCACACTGTGAGCATGAAATCAGTTGTAGGCTGTAGTTGAAGCTATCATTCTTCCTCACCTTGATTCATGATATAAACCTTTATTTCTTCACTGATTGGAACTTTAGTACAATTTAATACATATTATATAAAAATGTTAATATGAAAATCTATTCATATTAGTGAATAATTTAGGCCTTCTATATACTAGTTTTATGGTGTCTTGAATAATGCTGATAATAGTAATGCTAGTATTGTACATTAAGTATGTAACTGTTAGCTAATATTAATGTCAGGTACTGCATTTGGACCTGCTTGCTGAATACAATAAGGAAAACCTAATTTTTGATCTTCATAGATATTGTACTAATTAATACATAGTTTGGTATGTTGTGTTTCAAAATCTTCATGTCTAAGCTGTGAGTGGAGTGATTGTATTTTTTGAGAAGTCAAACATTGAAAAATTAATTTTCTTCACATAATTCATGGGTATCTATATATTTATCTTCAATAAACCCATCATCATCTACCACAAATGAATGTAACTTTTCAAATATTACTGTAGTATCTTCAGAGTTTGCATCTGGTATTTGTGAAAGAGAACTTGAATTTCCAGTAAAACCATCTTCATAGGCTTCAGCTTCATGCTCTTCTAGGCGATGGTGGTTGTAGCTGAGTAGAAGATTGTACCATGTTGGGCATTTGATAGCAATAAAGATAAGGAGTGAAGTCAACAGTACAGTAACAACAACACCAACAAGAAAAACCCAACTTTTTCCAAGAGATTCATGTTCTTGAATGAAAGAAAAAAGATTTTGTTAACTTGACAAAAATAAAATAATGATAATTGTGTGTTCTCCTACTGTCCAGTACTAGTATCAGAAATGAGCATATATTATAGTTTTCTTTAGCCAAAAGAAATTTGGTGAAAGAATAGCTTTTTCTCAAATAACTACAGGTTGAACATCCTTAACCTTAAAATGCAAAATGCACTGAAATCTGAAACATTTTAAGCACAAACATGATTCCACAAGTAGGAAATTCTACATGTGACTTCATGTGCCAAGTCACATGCAAAACCCAGGTGAACTAAAAATACTGTAAAATTATATTCAGGCTATATGTATAAGGTTTTAATGAAACATAAATTAATTTTGTATTTAGACTTTATTCCCATCCCATTATGTATATGCAAATATTCCAGAACCCCCCACAAAATGCAAAATCTGGAGCACTTCTGGTTCCCAGTATTTCAGATAAGGGATAGTCAACTTGTACTTGTCTTTGTAGATTTTGTTACTCACATGAGACCATTACTGATTTTTACTTGTAAGAATTAGGACTTGACTAAAAGTGAAGACTCAGAGAAGTTAAATAATGCACAGTGGCATTTGGGGGGATAACTAACAGCCTCAGCTGGAATCTTAGTATTTTGTAAATTTTTTGTTGAGATGAAGAATTATTCTTTTGCATAGTTGATAGAAATTCAAATAGAGAAAGATAAAGAGAATTAAGTTTACTTAATATACCTTCAATAATGTTAATATCCAAAACAAGTATATTACCTGAATTTCTTGTTAAGTTGCGTAAAGAGATGTTAAAAGTTGAATTGTTAATGGCCTGAAAATTACTATAAAGATCTTCAGATATAGGTAAAGTAAATTTTGAATGGCATTCAGCAGTGTAGGGTACTGTTTTGATACTGTAGCACTTCAGGATTTCTGGGTAATTACACATGGTGATGTTCTCATTTTCTAGTGAATAAGAAGGAATAAATTAAGATATGGAGAATCAGAATAGTTTAACAGTTATAAATATTTTTATCTAGAATTTTTGACTTTTTTTTTCGGTGGTACTAAGGATTGAACCCAGGGTCACACATGCTAGGCAACTGCTCCACTACTGAGCTGTATCTCAAATCTTTTTAAATTTTTACTTTGAGACAGAGTGGTGCTAAGTTACCCAGCATGGCATAAATACAGTATCTGTTTACTGGTTAGTTTGTCTGTGTTAGTGAAGGTTTTAAGATTAAGATTATAATTACATTTGGGATATGAAGCAGACCATGGTTTTTAGCTAACAAAGTAAGGCACCTGGCTTTATTTACTCCATGACAAGATGTCCTAAGAAAATATATA